TTCGGCATTTCTTGAATACAGTTGCTTGATTGGCTAAAATTGATTATTTTAGTACGTTTTGTATCTTTTTTTTTAATTTCTAACAAGTGGAGAGCGCTTTGGAAGATAAATATTAACTTCTAAATTGGGCTTAAATGTTTGGGACACACTCAAATAATTCCTTACTACAAATTTTCAAATCCAATTTTTAAATAAATTGTACTACTGAATATCTTTAATTTTTGTTCCAAAACATTCTGAATATGCAATGTACTTATCACATAATTAGTATTAAAGCGCACAACATTTGTATTGTTTGAATTGAATTGAGTTGAATTGAATCAAAAATATTTATTTGAAATTTTACCATTAAAATCTTTTAGAATAGCTTGAAAATTTACTACATTACAATTCAAATTCAAAAAAAAGAACGTGTATTTACACATTTTAAGGTCGTGAGTTTTGATAGACCCTTCCCACTGTTCGACGGCGAAGGTCACTGAAAAACCAAAACCAACGTTAAATTTTGCGCCAAATGAATACAATTCGGTCTTTCTACACATCGTTTACCAAAATTCTTTGCTGTTGAGAGGTGGAAAAGAGGCTTATACTGCATGTAACAGACTCTAAACAAAAATAACTCAGTAGAATAGATACGCATAAGGTTGAAATATTGAAAATCACGTTTACATTCATTACCAATTACCAACCATCGGAAGAATACCGATTTTGTTCGCAGTAAGTGACCTACATTAAATTAGTTGGTACTCAGTTTACGCAAAATTTGATGTTCTACAACTTTGATTCTATGGGTTTTTCCTTTAAGGGAACTCATTACCAAGTCACAGAGCCATTTATAGTAATTTATCTCAGTTTTTGACAAATTTGGTAAAAATCAGCGTTGGTTGACCATGGTTTTATACCTTAGCGCAACCTAATTATGAAGTTTATTAGCTCGTTTGACACCAAATTTAACGTTCTTTAATTTATTAAAGAATATATTTTTCGCTTTGATGCATCGTTTAGGAGTTATAGGTGAAAAAAAAAACAATTTTGGCTTTATTGGCTGTAAAAAGTTTTCCCTGGGTGGCCCGCGTTAGCAATTTTGTTCTATACTTTCTAAACCCATATAATACAAGTTGAAAAAGTGAAAACTTTTCTCACATTTTTCCCAATGGATTTCCCGTTTCGATCCTCAAATTACTGGCATAATATTCTTCAAATCAGCCGCCATTTTTTAAAGTAGCGGCTCTGGATCGGCAGACAAGATTCTTTTTACTCAGGATAACATACACTTTCGTAATTTACAATCAAACCTCCCCCTGCGATCAGGTCGATTTTAGGTCATTGTCTCCAGGGCTATAAAGGATAGTTGCAATAATCGCGACAACCGATTTAGTAAACATCGCCTCTTTTACGAAATGATGAGTTATTCATTTTTAATACAAAATAATTACTTCATATTAAGCACGTGAGTGCATATTTAGATTTATTTCACAGCAATTTAATTACCGAAGCAAAAAGCAAGTGGTCGTGACTGGCACATTTTTTATTTGCGAAGGGTGATGACTCAAATAATAGCCACCTGTTTAATACATATTCAATTAAACTCAAAATATTGAACTTATTTTATTACTATTATTTTTTTGTAAATGCTCAAACGTAAATTGTAATAAAACTATTAGGAAGTAATTATTTCGCCATTTTATCGGACTGTATTTGGACAACAATCCAGATAATTATCTCGATAGATGCAAGTGTTTGAAGGATGACTTGTAACATATTTGATTGCACAACCAAGCCGTTTCTTCAGCATGGTAAAAGGGCAAAAGTAAAGCAATGTTTTCACAATTAACGAATTATGTAACAATAAGACGCAAGTTGGGACAACAAATTTTCGAAATGAAAACTTCCAAACCAGAAGACAAGATTAATCATACCTTCTCTTGCACTGGTTTTTAAGAAGAGGAGAATAATAAAATATTTTATAAGTGGAGGGGGGAGATTCATGTACCATCGACCATGGAAAGGAGAGGGAGAAGATTCTCACCTCTGGATGTAGAAGCACAATTTATAAAATGCTTTGTTTATTCAATAAATTCTTCTTTTTTTTCTGTTCTAATGATATATCAGGTAATTAACAAAATGAACTAAGTAATATTCCTGATATGGTGGCTTGCTTTCAAAATATCTTAGAAGGTAACAGTCACTCAACTTGGATGGCTAAATATTGAGGAATATGGAAGAGGAAATGGCTCTGTTATCAGCTTAATTGTATCATCTGGCTGGTTAGGTTTGATTTACAATTAACAACCTAATTTATAAATAAACTTATTCATTTTTGTGGAAAATTTTGATATAATTATTAAGATTTTATCAATACACAATTAATTTTATTCAAAATACCACATACCTATGGTCTCTGGCCAAAACTAATTAAGTCTAAAAATGGTCCTCACAAATTCAGAAAATTATGATCTCCTTCCAAGTGTTCTAAACACCGTGAAAAAGTTGGTAAATCATAGTACTAAAAATTTTAGATATCTAGATGAGAACTGTGAATTTACTTACTTATTCACCGTGCTTAGTAGGCTTAGAGGATGATCGCAATTCACAGAACTTGTGAGAATCAAATGGACCAAGAAGACAAAATGGAAAAGTTTCAACTTAACTAATTATGGTCAGAGACCATAGATACATTCCCACAGATCTTATTTTATTAATAAAACATCACTGTAATAAGAAGTTTTATTTTCTCTATGCAGGATATAACGTTTCGGCATTTACTGCCATTTTCAAACATTCTAAATCAGGGGTCTTCAAACTTTTTTGCCCACGGACCACATTGAAACCTTGGGTAAGTTCTGCATGCTGCATTGATACCCCCACGGACCATGGCTTGTGATGAAAAAAAAACCTTGTTCAATAAGTGACACTTCAGCCGTGAAATGAGCTTTCAAAGAGAAAAAAAAACATGCAATATATGTTGTAGTAACCTCTTGTGTGGGTAATTTACTAAAGTTCATATTTTTAAGTAGTTTTTAAAATTTATCCGTGCAACCAGGGAATCTTCCGTGGGCCAGATTGAAGGTGCATGTGGCCTGAATCCAGCCCAACGGGTTGTAGTTTGCAGACCATATTCTAAATAACAAAAACAACAGTCATAAAATCATTTATAAAAAGTTTTATTTTCACAAAACTATTCAATAGCAGTAATATTTGTAATAAAATCTGTTGGAGTATATGTGGTCTTTGGAAACAATCAATTGTGTATTGATTAAATCTTAGTGGTTAGATTTAAATTTATTAAATTTATATTAAATTTATAGAAAGAGAGAGATAGGGCCAACTGAAAATATCTCACTCATCTAAGTATCTAAGAATAAGGTAAAACCATATTGAACTCTAATTATTGAAATAAGCAATTAATGATTTTGGTAACAGGATTGGTGAAAAACTATAAAAGAATAACAAAATACTAAATGACTTACCTTAGCTAGAGCTAGGAGGAACCATCTGCACCAAGATGACGCAGATACTGGCATTTGCAGATGATGTGGTGATCATTAGGAAATTCCTGACTAGCAGGTATCTTTATTATGCTTGATGCAGAGGTGCGGCATGTGGGTCTGAAAGTCAATGAGGGGAAGACCAAATTAATGGCATAAAGGAGAAAGAAACCCATACACCCTCAATGTACGTGTTTGTCAGCGACTACACCTTAGAAGTGGTCAACAATTTCAGCTACCTCGGATCCCTTATCAGTGAAGATGAGGAGATTAGAGGTACATTAGTGGCAGGAAATAAAGCATACTTTGCTCTAATTAAACTAATCAGAGGTAGATTGCTGAGCAGGACTACTAAGATTAGGCTGTACAAGTCGCTTGACCTGTAATTACATTTGAATGTGAGACATGGATGTTTAAAAACACTGCTGCAGAAAAGATTTGACATATTTGAAAGAAAATTCCTTAAACTGATCTTCAGATCAGTTCAAGAGTCAAGAAGATGAAGAATAAGGACAAACAAGGAAGTACATCGGCTTTATCAGGAATTAGCAGCGTCCATGTTCATAAAAGTTCAACATCTTAAATGGCTGGACCATGTCCACAGGATGGATGAAACAAGAGTAGCCAAAAGAGTATACATGTACAATCCAGATGGAGTGCACTAAAGACGGAGAGCAAAAACTAGATGGCGGAATAATATAAGCAGCGACCTTTGAAAGCTGGGAATAAGTATCACCATGACATAAGATAGAGCACACTGGGAAAGGCTGGTTGAGCAGGCTAAGGACAGCTATATGTGCCTGTTGTTCCAATAGAAAAAGAAGTGACTTACCTTCCAGTATTTTTTATGAATTTTGCTTCGGATGTTGTACTGAGGCCTGTCTGGGGACAGTTTGAACTTTCAAGAGACAGTATGTTGAAAAATTGCTTGCATTTTTTTTTTTTTTTCTTTTTTTGCTGAAGAGATACATCTAGTTGATACATTCACATATTTCAGTATAATATTATAGCTTTCATTTTGGCAAAAACATTTTCATAAAAAAATATTTTAATGTTTTGAAATTGGATATTTGAATCTTTGCTAAAGGGTAATTTAATACTCCTGAGATTATTATGAAACCAACTACCCCTTAAAGAGCATTATAAGACTATTGTAAATTAAGTCCTTGATACATTTTTCAGCAAATTCCTTCGGAAATGAAATCAATCAAAATGTAATAATAAATAAATAACAACTCTAAAAAAATTAAAATTCAATATATTTTAATAATCTATTTTTTTTTCTTGGTGTCAAAGTACATTATGTAGTCATGGTACATAAATTGAATAGGAGAAGAGGTATGTATACATTGAGTAAACAAAACTATACATTAAGTAGACAAAAAATAATGATAGTAATCATTTAACCAGACAAAAATCACAAAACGAAAGAGTAAAAAAAATAATAACAGTAATAAACTAAATAGAATTGATATAATGATGAAATGGCTATTATCGACAATTAAAAAAAAATTTAAATACATGGATTGGTGAACAAACCAGCAGTCATTGCATTTGATGCTAAACACTTTTTTTTATTTTAAAGTTTTAAAAACTTATTAGTAAATAAAAATTATTTAAAACAAACTGCAGAACGAAATTTCAAATAAAAGTTAATTATTACAACACAAACTAACTCAATGGCAGTCCTACCACATGTAGTTGTTGGTTGGAAAGTAGGAAGATGTGATGGGAAGTAGCATGGACGCCAAGAACTCTTTTCTCGTTAGGAAGACTAAGCACATACTGGATCCCCCAACTTGTTTTCAGGCCTGGCCGTAGACCTCCTTTGTAAAGGAATATCCGTCCTCCCGCATCCACTACTCCAGCATAACTCATATCTTTGAAAAATGAAATTAATTGAATTAATATTTATGCAATTGAGAATTGTTTTTCTTAGATAAAATTTAATTAAATGGATTGAATTTTGGACTCTGGTTTTAGAGGTGATGATAGACCATGAGGAAAACTCAAGATTTTGCTTACTTTTAACTTAATTTTGAACACTTTTGAAACTATGATAATATCAATAAGAGCAAATTAAAAATTCTCAATTAAATGCAAAAGATTTAATGAACTTCTATACAATTATGTACTTCAAAACACTGAATAGAATTTCTATAAATTGAACCAGAATTGTTACAATAAGCCTTTATAAGCATCTTTAATAGTTGATGATCTTCATAAATGAATGAAAAACTTCATAAACAAGTAATGCTCACAAGAAATAAATCTGTTATAATAATGTTCCCATACCAAAAAAAATTCTAGTGCACGCAACACACAAGTTTCACTTACCGCTCAATTTTGAATAGAAATTATTTTCTGGCCATGTTGGGCTATTATAAAATTTTTGAAGTGCATTTTTAACTGAGCTAAAGCTTAAAGCTTACAACTAACAAATCATTAATACCATTAAAATAACAAAAATCCTATTTATTATATCAACGGTTGATACTATAATACGATCCGTTGATCAAGGATTGTACGACTATTAGTAAATAGAAAGTTTACTAAAATGGAATTGTGAGATTAGCATTGCAGGTCATAGATAGATCAAAACTTTTCACACAGTAGTGGATACTGTTGGGATATCACAAAGAGAAAATTCATCAAATTATTCACTTAATTTTCTCAAAGTTTACATGATGATTTTTTGGAATAAACAGACGATAGATATTAACAGTAAATTTATTTCAGGTTATAAACATAACCATGAAATAAGTTATATTTCACTTCTTTGTTTACCCAAGTACAATGAAATAGTATTTTAAATAATGTGATTGCCATGTTTCAGAGGATTTTTAGTACTTTTTCAAACTAAAAAATAATTTTAAAATTTTACATTTAATACCTAAATGACATTGAAGATTGCTGAACTATACATTGATAAACTGAGTTTAATGAAAATGGTTAGAGCCATTTTCAAGAAAATCGTAAAAATGTGTAAAATCAATTATATAAAGTGGCACTTCCGGTTAGCCGATTTTAACAAAAAAGTTTCAGTCACATCTGAGCCATGTACAACTTCATACCACACGCACACGAACACAAACACACACTACTTGCTGCCTTCATAAATGTTCATTTTCGGTACCATGGAAGAAACAGCGTCTTGTACTGATGCCAAAGAGTTAAGGCAATCCAGAGGACCCGTGGACTTATCGTCCCATTTGTCTGCTGGACACTATAGGGAAGGTTTTTGAGAAAATCCTTTGTCTCAGGCTACAGGAAATCACTGAGAGTACAAGTGGTCTGTCAAAGGCCCAATATGGATTTTGAAAAGAGTGATCTACAGTGGATGCTATTGGACTCATGCAATTGCAGGAGTAATTTGGAGAAGGGGAGCAAAGTGTTAAGCGGCAATGATAGCTCTAGATGTCAAAAGTGCATTTAACACAGACAGATGGCTTTGCATATTGGATGCCTTACGAACTATGGCTGTGGCTGATTATCTTATAAGGGTGATCACAGACTACTTCATAGATAAATTTCTGTTTTATGACTCAGACATCGGACCAAGCAGATATAATGTTACTGGTGGTGTACCGCAGGGTTCCGTATTAGGGCCGCTCCTATGGAGTGTTATCTATGACGGTATTTTCAGGATACCATTGCCAATAAATTAAATAATGTTAAATTTTGCATCAAAAAAGTACATAAACTATATAATTTGGTTACGCAGTAAGGTATAAAACCACGGTCAACCAATGCTGATTTTTACCTAATTTGTCAAAAACTGAGACAAATTACTATAAATGGCCCTGTAACTTGGAAATGAGTTCCCTAATAGGAAAACCCCATAGAATCAAAGTTGTAGAGCATTAAATTTTGAGTCAACTCAGTACTAACATTTTTATTGTAGGCCAATTATATGTCTCGAATCGGGATTCATTATTCCTTTATAAAATTCGGTATCTTTCAACACATTGTTTACCAAACTTCTTCGCTGCTGAGAGGTGGACAAGAGGCTTATACTGCATGTAACACACTCTAAACAAAATAACTCAGTAGAATAGACACCCATACGGTTGAAATATTGAAAATCATGTTTACGTTCATTACCAATTTCTAACCATCGGGAGATGTTTTTGTTCAAAATTTGTAAGTGACCTAAATTAAATAAGTTGGTATTCAGTTGACGCAAAATTTGATTCTCTACAACTTTGATTCTGTGGGTTTTTCGTCTTAGGGAACTCATTTCCAAGTTACAGGGCCATTTATAGTAATTTTCAGTTTTTGACAAATTTGATAAAAATCAACGTTGGTTGACAGTGGTTTTATACCTTACCGCGTAACCAAATTATAAAGTTTATGTACTCGTTTGACACAAAATTTAACATTCTTTAATTTATTAAGGAATACACTTTTTGGCTTTGATGCATAATTAATTTATAGGTTAAAAAAACAAAAAATATCGAAAAAATCTGAGTTTTTGTCGGCTGTAAAAAGTTTTCCCTTTATGGCTCTCGTTAGCAATTTTGTTTTTTACATGCCTAAACCCATATATATATACTTTTTTTTTTTTTGGGTCCTCCCCTTCCTTGCCGTTATGACTATACAGGGTTTTTCCATGCCAGGGGGTGTGGGCAGGGATTTAAAAGACGCCTTGGCACTGGGACGCGAACTCATGACTATTTTGTATCATTTTTCATATATCAGGTTGCCGGGCAACGGTGGTGCTTTGCACAACGTGTTAGCCCATTCGGCCACCCTGCCCACCCCATATATATATATATATATATATATATATATATATATATATATATATATATATATATATATATATATATATGTACAAGTTATATACAAAGACAACATATATACAAGTTAAAAAAATAAACTTTTCTCACATTTTTCGCAATGGATTTCCCATTTCGATCCTCAAATTATTGGCCTAATATTCTTTAAATCAGAAGCCATTTTTGAAAGCAGCGGCTTTGGAACGGCAGACAAGGTTCTTTTTACTCAGAATAATATACACTTTCGTAATTTACAATCAAACCTTCGCCTGTGATCAGGTCGATTTTTTGGCACCAGCTCCAGGGCTACGAAGTACCTGGTAGTCCTCATTGATGCATGTCTCAATGTATCAAAACTAAAGCTTCTAAAGTCATGTTCTTATTATCGTGCCTTATGCCAAATGCAGGAGGCCCTAGATAGAGCTGCAGAAGGCTTCTTGCGACTGTTATACCTTCGATTAATTTATATGGAGCTCAAATTTGGAAAGAAACAATGCACACAGAATCATATAGGAGACAGATGGTCTCGGTGTATCGCAGAACTTTATTAAGGATAGATAGGGCTTTCCAGACTATATCCTATGAAGCGGTTTGTGTAATGGCCTCCTCTTGAACTGTTAGTTGACGAGAGAAACAGATCCTACAATAGAAGTCCTAGAATCACAAGGGAAGAACAAAGGAAAATAACCATCAACCTTTGGCAACAGCGATGGGATACTGCTGATAATGGAAGATGGACCTATAAATTAGTGTCCAATATTAGTTCATGGTGTGGTCGTTAAGATCGTGAGGTGGACTTCTATGTAACACATTGGATAACACTGCTGAATGTCCGGCCTGCATAGGAATCAAAGAAACGGTAGAACACGTGTTCTTTTCATACAACCACTTCAATGCAGAAAGAAAAGAATTGGAGAAGGGGTGTGGAGTGAATGTCACTCCTGAAAATCGGGTGATGCTTATGTTGCTAATGGACAAACATTGGGAAGCTGTGAAGAAATTCACCAGGGTTGTCCTTAAGAAATTAAGAGAAGAAGAAAGAATCAGAAGAGGCCTTTAGCCAGAAGATAAATGTCTCAGGACCATTAACAATGAGACGTGTAAGTATGGGCCTATTTGTGGATTTCAAAGATTTCAACCCACACACACAAAAAAAAAACACCATTTTGTGTGGGACATGGTTATTTCGAACCATTAGACGTCAAGACGTATTTCCGTTGAAAACTCAGATTCGAAAATTTTCATGATCGCAATACTTTCCCTTACTATATATTACATATATATAGGTAAGTGAAAGTAAAAAAATAGATAACACATTCACCTGAGGAATGATTATTATTAATAATTGGTAAATGGTTGACTGTCGTGAATAATGGAGAGAAGAAAAGTTGGGGTGATCAGTCAAATAAGAAGGCAAAAATAAATGAGCCAACATTTTTGACATTGGGCTAATGTCAAAATAAATAGTATCATTTCTTTTTGCCTTCTTATTTGACTGATCACCCCAACTATTCTTCTCTCGATTATTATTAATAATGTTAACCAGAAGAATGCATCTATGGAGCTTGACACATGGCAGCAACTGCAATTCTAATATAGACAAATAATTGAAACTGCTACAATTACTCCAATCAGACCTCCCCAATTTCAGCTTCCAATTCTGCTGTACCAAGCTGAGAGAAATATATTCTACAGTTAGGAAACCATTAATGACTATCATTCAAACTTCAAAAATAGCACTACTGCAACATTTTTCATTTTACATTAATTCAGATATAATCAGTGCAATAAATGTGTGATCCAATAATACTAATCTGGTAGATTCAAAAAAATGTACTAACAGGTACAACGATTATTTTGCCAATTATTTTATATTATTCGAACCAAAAAATGAAATGGAAATTTAATAAAAAGAAGAAAGCGGTTGGTCAGAAATGACTTCAAATAGTGTTTATTAAACGTCAATGTTTTGACTTGCATTGCTGGTTCACACCAAGACTGAAAAAAGTGAAGGCTTGAGTGCCTTATTCTCTTTGTTTCTGCCCTGATGAAGACCTATTGGGTAGGTGGAAATGTCCTTGAACATTTTGTTAATACTAATTGATGTTATTTCTAACAAATTCCTAGACCATCATCTTGATTTATCTTTACATTACAGTCAACTGTTAACACATATGAAAATCAATACCATTTAAAATTGTTTACCTGCCGGAAAAAAAGAAAATATTCTTGAAGCTTTAGAGGCCTGAATGAATCCGAAAGCACAGATTGTAGCAGTATGAGACAGCTTATGTTCTTTTGTTACTTCACAAACAATACCATCAACATCTGAGCGTATGCAAAATCGAGGTGGTCTGTTTAATGACTTAGGCCCATGCATTAGCCACTGTCCACTTCCAAGTTCTACCTAATACAAAATAATTAATTGAATCATGTTGTATAAAATGGATGAGAGGCTTCAATGCTGTGTTTGTGATTTTATTATGTACAATTCAATCCCAACAATAACCATATTAGCTAGCTACAATTACAACAGAAGCTTGACCTAATATTAAAAAATTAATGTATTCCAAACATTATATAAATCATTTATAATTTATAAAATAATAAGAAATTCTCATGACAAAAAAATTTTTAAATTTGAATTCTATATATTTAACAAAAAATATAGTGCATGGACCAATTTCTTTTTGTTTTTAATCATCAAGTTAAATTACTAGACTCCAGATTTATTTGATTGACATGCCATCTTATTAACCAGCATTAGCAAAGCTATAGTTTTTTTTTTTTTTTTTTTTTTTTTTTGTTTAATGAATAATAAAATAATGTAAATATGATCATTAATGAATATCAGTTAGTGTTAAGTGAAGAAGAAAAAAACCATTGAAAATACAAGGATCCTTCTCTAAGTTGAGAATACAATAAGGATTCTATTCTACAATATTATAAAGAATAAATCATTAACAAACAGACACCAAGAGACAGAACATAAATGTTAGGTTATAATTCGAAAAATTCTAACCAAACAGCCATATATCTCCAAAATGGAGGAAAAGAAGAAAACCAGTCAACGTTTCACCAATTCAGGCCTCATCAGGACATAAGAGAACAGCAAAAGTGAACATCAAATCGCATACTGGCTCCAGTCCATACCAGTATGCGATTGGATCTCATGAAGTGATGTTTGATGTGCTGTTCTCCTGTGTTCTGATAATACCTGAATTTGCTAAACGACAGGTTTTTCTTTGTCTGCATTATGGAGGCATAAAACTGTGTGGTTGGAATTTTTCCAGTTATAACCTAATATTAAGAAGTTTCACAAATAAATCGTATCATCAAGTACTCCTTCGTTCATCTTAAACTCCAAATTTTATCATTGAGGAAAGTTAGTTGACTGTTTTACATATCATGGGTAATAAATATTCAGTAATATATTAATATATTAATCCTCCCTCCCCCAACCAGGATGAAAGGTCTGTACCCATGTCTGCAAAAGACCCTAACAATATACATCTCATTTCAAATAATAACTAAAGCAATCACATATGACTTTAAAATCACCTTATGAATAGAAATAATATTTGCTGAAGAGAGATCATAGGCAAAGAAAGCTCTTCTATCACCATCGTTGATGTCACATTCTTCGAGCTGTCCAGAATTCAAAACAGTCGCACCACCTACATCCTGCAAAAACAACAAAATTATACTTTGGAAAAACTGCACTTTTTTCTACTTGATTTAAATTATTTCTAAACATATTTTTTTTTTAAATTGTCTCCACATTTAAAACAATTTTGTAACAAGTATAGGCAATTTAAGATATATCAGATTTCCTATTCTATACAGATGTACTATAAATATACACTTCAATAATATTTCAAAACTTCACAAACTAGTCCAAGTTATTTTTGTGTTTTGCCTTTATTATATTATTATGCCTTTATATTATTATATATACAAATGATGAGGGGTTGGTCGCCCTTGTCATAAAAATAAAGTGCATTATGAGACTTTATTAATACTTTATATTTTGTATACCTCAGTTTCTGAAGTCAAATGAGCCAATTTCGAATGAATCTCAGCAACAAGATTAGGATCACTTATTTCTTTTCCATGCCAATCACTTACTTCAAATATTTTTGGCCACATAGTTCCTTCATCTCTTTTAGACATCACTATTTCTAATCTGAAAGATTAAATTATTTATTTACATCTTCAGCAGGAAAATTTTAAACACTGAAGATAAACCTGAGTCAATACTACATACATTTAATGAAAGATGGGGGGAACAAAAGAGGAAGAAATGACCAAATGAAAAATTTCTTAAATGTAATGTACTTAATTAGTTCTATACGAAAACTTTTAATGAATGTTAATGTCCGAGAAAATATAATTGTAAGTTCATTAGAAATATAACAAAAAAAATAATAAAAAGAAGCCGCTTTTAAAAATAAAATCACCAACTTGCTATTAGTTGCAGTCCAAACAGTAAGACCTTCCTCAATTGGTCGATAAAGCTGTCCTTTTAATAATGTCTTCTCCGAAACAGTAACAACCAACTCAGATGCTGACACCTTGATAGTAGGCTGCTTATTGCAATGAAGATCCAACCATAGTTTAACTTCTTCATAATTTTGTTGCCATTCAAATGATTTAACGTTTTCTAAAATAATTTTTTTTTTTTAAGTAACGGTGAATTTCTTTTTGAAACTTCAGTTACAAAAATATAAAGAATGGATTGGAGAAAGAAAAATATTTATATTTAGGATTCTGTTTATATTTATGATGTGTGATATTTATCAAGCAGTAATCTGTAACTCTTACTGAAATATTATTAATAATGAAGGATGGGTTATATGTATATTGGCAATTATATTTTATACTGAGAAATCATTTTTAAACAGATTGCTTATTTATAAATTAAAAAGTAATTAGATTTTAACAAACCTATAACTGGTTTCTTTTCCTCATCAATAACTTCCTGCGACTTTAGCTCCTCCTGGCTGACAATATACATCACTGAGCAGTCTGATGATAAAGCTGCATAATCTAAAGTGCTTTTGCCATATACCGCTCGTCGTCTCTGAAGTTTCCATTGCTCTCCTTCATCTTAAAATATCATATTATAATCACCACTTAAGTTTAACAATTCCTTTAAACATGCTAATTTTATTGACATGTTTTTATAGCCATAAAAAAAGTAACTTTTTTTTAAGGAAGAAGAATGAAAAATTTATCTTTCTTCTATGTCATTTCCCCCTACTTAGTAATTAATCCTTACGAATAACATAAATACACATCTCAAGTAGCATTTGTCCGGATAAGCAAATTAAAAAAAGATTTATAATTGAGGAGATGGAAAAATAAATGGTGTTTGAATGAGGTTAGTGCGAGATATTTATGAATTAAGATAGATTTATATAGAGATAGATATGAATTTCAATAATCAGATAGCACAAATGATACAGAATTTTTTTAAGAAAGCTGTTATATCAGAGAGGGATATACAAATCAGTAGGTATAGATCTGGGATGGATTGAAAATATAGGGTGAGGTGGTCAAGAGTATAGATGGCTTTTTTGGTTCCCAAGGATTTAAGGGATAAAAAGGGAACAAGGATAAAGTTTTTGGAATACTAGTGAGAGCGTATGGGCACACCAAAAACATTAAAACACCAAATTATTAGAACATTATAGGAAAGTTTCATCAAAATCATTAGAACCGTTTTGCACTACAGTCTATAGAAAAATATGTTTTTCAATTATTGTGCAGCCGCTATAGTGCAGAGAGCACCCAATTTGTGTCACAGGCATTAGTAGTCGAAACCCTACAAAATAAAAAACAAAATCGGTTCAGTAGTTTCCAACAAAATCTTGGCACAGACAGACAATGGCTAAAACTGTGTTTTTCGGACTCAAGGGTCTCTGAAACGTATAGATTCGTCATAAACCGCATATCAGAAATCGCTGTCCCCCAACTTTCCTGTCCCCCAAATATATATTACATATATAGGTAAGTGAAAGTAATAATGAACAAAATTATGGAGTTACCATCTCAATCTATTAATGATAATAATATTAAATAAATGTTAATAAAACATCTGAATATAAAGTCAGTTTATTGCAAAAAATTTAACTAAGCATACTTCTAATGGAGCTAAACTAAAATCCATGTTTGTGAATTTGGAACATACTTATCATAAAAACTCATGAAATACAACTAATAAAACAATAAAACAAAACTACCTTCATAGTAGTTCAAAAATAGTTTCCTAAGTGTAATTACTTTGATTTCTCAATCAAGATCAATACTTTGATTTCTCAGAGAGAAAATTCATACACATATTTAGTGATTTGATTTTCTAAATTGTACTTTTGCAAAAAACAGAAAATATGCTTTTGGACAATTATTAGTTAGGTATTTAGAGTTTTAGTAATTCTGTATATGATCAAATTTAATTTTTTTTTTTCACCAGAATCCTGAAAAGTACCACAGCAATCAACATGTTAAACATAATACCTACTTGATGTTAGATATAAGTGACTAAGATATGTCTGCTTTGAGTCAACATGAATATACAGCAGATGTATTTCTCCTTGTTTAGGTGATTTGGCATCAACAATGCGGCCAGGACTCTCTATTTCTTCAAAATGCAAGGACTGCAAGTGAAAATCAACGTAAATGAATTAACAACAATGAATAATAAAATTCTTTACAAAAATAAATAAAATATTGTATTAGATTATTCAAAATAGAACATTAACCTTTTGACCACATTCATTTTTGGGGATACAATTGTCAATCGAATGCAAGGTTTTGTATGCACATAATCTAAAAAACTAGAATTTAAAAAGTTTCGGATCCCTTAATATATATACATATTAGTATACTCCAAATATAGGTTAGTGATAGTAAAAAGTACAAGAAGTGGAAAACAAAAGCAATCGACAATCTAACATCTTTCAATTAGGTTATATATATAGACAGATAGATAGATATATATAGATAGATATATATCTTATATCTAGAATATATATAGATAGATATATATTCTATATATCTATATATATATATATATATATATATATATATATATATATATATATATATATATATATATATAAATATATATATAGATAGATAGATAGATAGATAGATAGATAGATAGATAGATAGATAGAAAAATAATTTTATTCTGGGACACAGTCCCTTGAGAATAACAAAATAGAACAAAATTAAAAGATCGCATCTGGCCAAAATAAAATCAATCGAAAAAAGAAATAATGTAAAAAAAATATAAGGTAAACATTCTATGTACAAAACAAACGAAACTATATACAAAACAATTAATACAATGACAAGGCACTTAAAGCTATTTGCACTGATAGACTGGTATACGCTTTTAAGAAAATAATAAAGAATTAAAAAATAAAAATGTATCAAATTCTCTATTAAAATCAGCTCGAACGGTTAGCAACTATCTGACTGTTTTTGGAATAGGAGTGTTTTGAATTTGGATATGGATGGGGAATGTCGAATTTTGATAGGGAGGGAATTCCAGAAATTGACAGAGCGAACGATAAAGGAATTTTGGAATGAGGCAGATCTGTGAGAAGGCATGTAAAGGTTAGAAGGTCGAGATCTTGTGGACAGGGAATGGACTGAGGATTTGAACTGGAGAAGGTTGTAGGCTTAAGAAGGATGATGGTTGTGGATGATTTGGTAGAGGAATGTACCAAGGAAATATTGTCTTCCTGAGGGGAAAAGCCACTTTAACTCAGAGTAGTGGTGAGAAACATGGGAGTATCTTGGGGCCCTGATCACAAATCTTACACAGCTGTTCATTAGTCTTTTCAGTCTATTGCGGAGCTCCACAGAGAGGCCATCATACACCACACAGCTATAGTCGAAGTGGGGGAAAATGAGAGAAAAAACTAGGAGAAAACTATATATGTATTTTTTTACAAAATTTCTTCAATCAACCTTCGAATATTATATTTTAACATAATAATTTGTGGATAAGCTTCAACCTCATACAGTCTGATTCTAATCAGAGTGTCATCCAAATCAAACTATGTTCCACAAATATTTCTTAAGTCTTGTTTGGAGCTTTGATGTCTCTTATTTATCAGCACATGATCAATTTGATTTTTAATAACCTTTTGGGACTTACCCAAGAGTACTTGTGGATGTCTTTGTGAAGAAGCATCATACTGCTAACAACTAGGCTCTTAGCTACTGCCAGGATAATACATTTCAATCCATTTTCATTGCTGCTTTATGAAGAATTTGCTCTTTATTAATATGTTAATCTTTTGCTACCAAGTTACCATTCAATAAAAAAAAAAAAGAACCCTGATGGGGAATCCTTAAGCAAATAGGATCTAAGGTAGACTTTTTCATTAGAAGATGAAAGTACATATCCATCTATAGGGATATGTAAAACTGTACACTTTAATTAGAAATTTTGAAGACTGGCAGTTAGTTTCTCGGTCTTCATTCCACCTTTTATGACTTAAGCTCAAATTTCTGGAATCAGTCTTAACATTACACAATCAATCAGAATATGTCATTCAAATTGAACTTGAAGAGTCCGCTAATTCTACAGACACATAATCCAGAGCTTATAACAAAAATGAGACACAAAATATTTCAAGAATTGCTTATGGGTTGAGAGAGTATATCGTAATAACCTACAATAACTTTATTGTATTCCATTATTGTTATCCATGATAACAGATTTGAATATTAAATAGCCCTATTTGAGCAGAAAATGTATTGCTTAAATAGGCTGATAAGTGGAAGTTGTGTGATGCATGCTGCACAAGATATTTTTTTCTTCAAATTAATTAAATATTTTCCTTAGTCAAAATGTATAATATTCTATTAAAGTAAGTTTATTAATATGTTTTTTTTTCCTTTAATTTTTAATAAAACTTACTTTCCACTTCGATCTCCCTTGGTGCCTACTGCCACTGGAAAGAATGAAAAGAGTTCCTGCCCCATCACTGATGACAACTAAATCCTCTGAGGCAAAACAAATTGTTACATTTGACCGTCCTAGTGTTCTCTGTTTTGTCTTGGGTATTTCCCAAACTTCAAATGGCCCTTCAACATCAACGGATTCCTGTGACATATTATAGTTCATTATATAGAAATAAGAAAATCAACCATAAAAAATAAGGCCTTAAAAGAGATACATTAATTTACCTCAGAGGGCACAGTAAGACATTTAATTTTCCACTCTGAATCTACATAGTAGACTGACAAAGAATCCCATGGGTCACTATGAATATGATCATGAATACTGTATTCTCTTTGCTGAATGAAGGAATACTGATCATCACTTGGATAAACAATGTCAATTCCTATTTAAAAACATAAAATATTCATACCAGTGTAAAAGATACATATACATAATATATATGTATATGTATATGTATATATATATATATATATATATATATATCATAATTTAATATCTCATGATAAAATTAAAACAATACCATCCAGGATACTTTTTGTACAAATTGGAAGAGAATCTGTATTTAATTTGTATCCTTCAAATTTTGTATCAAGGAAGTTCCTATTGATCACGAAATCAGCACTAACTGACATATTAACGGTGTACTGAAGATTAGGAGGTTTTCATACATTCAGTGTAAATATTCAGATTTAACTTTAACTCTTTACAAAAATCCTGTTAAATCTGTTTTTAAAGCTGCTACATCCTTAATGGAGATCAAGAACGACTAGCTCGTTCAGCATACAACACTAGACAAGAACAAAATGTTATAGCCCTGGAGCCAGGGCCCAAAAATCGACCTGATCGCAGGCGAAGGTTTGATTGTAAATTACGAAAGTGTATGTTATTCTGAGTAAAAAAAACCTCGAGTACATAAACTTTAAAATTTGGTTTCGCGGTAAGGTATAAAACCAATGTCAACCAACGTTGAATTTTACTAAATTTGCAAAAACTGGGACAAATGACTATAATTGGCCCTATAACTTGGAAATAAGTTCCCTGAGTGGAAAAACCCATAGAATCAAAGTTGTAGAGCATCAAATTTCGCGTATACTCAGTACCAACTTATTTAATGTAGGTCACTTGCTGCGAACAAAATCGGTTATCTCCTGATGGCTAGATATTGGTAATGAAGGTAAACGTGATTTTCAATATTTCAACAGTATGAGTGTCTATTCTACTGAGTTAGTTTTGTTTAAAGTCTGTTACATGCAGTATAAGCCTCTTTTCCACCTCTCAACAGCAAAAGATTTTGGTAAACGATGTGCATAAAGACACCGATTTTATAAAGGAATAACGAATCCCGATTCGAGATATATAATTGGCAAACAATAAAAATGTCAGTACCCAGTATACGCGAAACTTGATGCTCTACAACTTTGATTCTATGAGTTTTTCCTCTTAGAGAACTCATTTCCAACTTACAGGGCCATTTATAGTAATATGTCTCAGTTTTTGACAAATTTGGTAAAATTCAACGTTGGTTGACCGTGGTTTTATACCTTACCGCGAAACCAAATTTTAAAGTTTATGTACTCGTTTGACGCAAAGTTTAACGTTCTTTAATTTATCTAAAGAATACATTTTTCGCTTTGATGCATCGTTTAGGAGTTATAGATGAAAAACCCAAAAAATATCGAAAAAATCTGACTTTTTTGGCTGTAAAACGTTTTCCCTTGGTGGACTGCGTTAGCAATTTTGTTTTTAAAGGGGACCCTACACGGTCAATCGGAATTGCACTAATGACGTTCCGAATTGTCGTGTAAGGTAGTGAATGAAGTACTGATGGTGGTGCGCTGCGGATTTCCGAACATCCAGAAATCAAAGGTTCATTCACGAGAAGTGATAGATTAGGTTACCTAGGCCTCACAACCATTATAAATTTCTGATTTTCATTATATGTAAATAGTTAAATAATTTTTCATATCCCTTGTTTATAATTTCAAACCATCTTCACCTATTTCTTTTAAATGGTCAAGTGGGCAACAAATTAAAAAAAAAAAAAAATGAGGAAACTTCACAATTTACTTTAGGAAAAAAAAAACTTTAACGTTGTGTATATTTATCAGTTCTTTTCCCATTTTCCTTAACAAATTTATTATTTTCGCAATACCTTTCCTTAATTTTTGTAAGTAGTAGACTTATATTTTACTAACTTTTGTCAAAACGATTTTCTATGAGACTAACCTTACTACTAGATAGGGTAGTTTACCTAAGTCTCGTTATTAAGTAAATAATTTCATAAAAGTAAATAGTTGTTTATATCCCTAGTCTATGTTATTATTAACCATTTTCAACTATTTTTTCTTTAAAAAGTCAAGTAGACAATAAATTGGAGAGAAAAAAAAGTGGAAACTTCACATAAGTAATGATCAGTAATGATTGAACGTGTAAGAGTCTTCATGATCAAAGCGATAGCGGACAATCTTGGAACTTCTTGTGACGTTCATTCATGAATTACCGTGTAGGGTCCCCTTTACATGTCTAAACCCTTATATACAAGTTTAAAAAATAGAAACTTTTCTCACATCTTTCGCAATGGATTTCCCGTTTCGATCCTCAAATTATTGGCCTAATATTATTTAAATCAGCTGCCTTTTTTTTAAAGCAGCGGCTCCGGAACGGCAGACAAGTTTTTTTTACTCAGAATAACATACACTTACGTAATTTACAATCAAACCTTCACATGCGATCAGGTCGTTTTTGGGTCCTGGCTCCAAGGCTATTAGTAACACTCTTTGATAATTTAGAGAGAATCAATTTATGAAAGCTTTCTGGTATACAAGAGAATTGTTCTAGGAGGGGAATTGACTGTAATTTATCGCGAAACGCCCACATTTCAAACACTTATTATTAAAATAAATTAATAAGAATCATTTTTTAGCATTAAAAAAAATCTTATTACTTATAACATATACGTAGGTATTTAAAATACGAAATTTAAATGTTTCTAATTCCTAATAATTTGTGAAACCTCCAATGATGTGAAATTTTCCAGGACATATTTGATTTTCATAACAAAATCACATGTTTTATTTTGGTAACCTAAAATTATTTGGATAAAGTAATTATGTTTGTTCCCTTTTATCTGAATCTTATCATTTTAATTAATGGTTTTAAAATGCCATTATTGCTTTATTAAATTCAAGATTTGGATTAAATTAGATTATATTTTAAACTATGAAGACTAAATTTAATATAATCAATCATTACGCTTCATTTTTGAAGTGGTTGTGTTCCCTTCCACAATTCTGCTAATCCACTTTCTACTTCCTTTCCTTAATTTATATAAATCGCTTCTCTACTATTGTTTACTCTTCTCCTGATCACTTAACCTGAATCTTTTATTTATTTATTTTCATCTTCTCTTACCTCTCGGCCACACAGATGTTTGGTTGATGTAGCGCGATATTTCTACCGATAAAGGCTCCTAAACACAGAGCTCGATATGTCCCGGTGATATCATATCCCTTTGCCGGTATCGCTGCAGATTATCGCGCTCTGTGTGACTTTGTGATATAATGTAACACACCTATATCGCCAAATCGCCACCCACATAAATATCGTATCGCCGAGACATATAGCATTCTGAGTGCAGGGGCCTTTAATCTCTGATTCTTCTTTCTTCTTCGTTAGTGAAAGTTTAAATGATCAACCCACACTAATTCCTTCCCCTTGTAAACGAAAGCTTCGTGGTACGGGTAGTAATCCTTCCTTACTCTCTGAGATAAATCGTCCTGTGTGATGACGTAGGTTTCCTTAGGAAGTAGGGTCCATCCCTATATATCATACCACTGCTAGACAACAAAATATTGGTTACAACTAAAATATTGATATTATTTCTGACAAAAAATGTCTGGATAGTATCTTAAATCTGAATTACTAGAGAAAAACTAATTATTTCATTAATACCGCCGGATACCTAATAACTAAAGTATAGCATCAGTAGTGAAACAGAGGGAAATTACAATTAAAAAATCCTAAGGTGATTATAAATATTAAAAGTTAAACGATTTCAAATACAAATGATGTTAGTTAAACCAACCTAAATAATATGCAGTTGATTATCGATGATCTATAACTAACAAGGGGCGCAGGTTTCGAAGGTGAATATTTTCTGGTGACACTGCTTCTAAAATTATTAGAAAAAATATCAATAAAATTATATTTCATGGTTTAAAAGGACAATAAAAACGGGTAAAACTTGCTTTACTTAAAATTGCCCTTACGGGTTTTTGCAGTGTGAACGTCAATTTAGTATAGTGAACTGGTCACAATGTTGTAGATTAACTATACCTCTTTGAACGTTAGTATCTATCCTATTTGGGGTTGTTTATTTACAATACCTTCCGTTGGTTATAGTATTCGTTACTAATGCCGACTGTGTACTAAACATTAGATCGTTTATTTCATTGTGTTTTTGAAATGTTTAAAAATACGTTCCAGAGTGGATTCTTGTCCATTCTCTACAGCATTGGTAGTAAACCTCTTCAGATATGGGATAAAAAAGTTAGGAATGGACACATCAAAAGAATAACCGACAACGATATACAATCACTGGTACTGGAAATTGTTGGAACAAATGTTAGCACAGCGTACCTTACATGTCCAGCAGACCCTAAGAAAACTCTTGGAATAAAGTTACCATTCCTCGTTATGATTATCAAAAATCTGAAGAAGTATTTTACATTTGAAGTTCAGGTAGGCAACCTCATTTTGTGTATACTTTCTAGTTTTTCAATAGTAGAAGCAATGGCTAATGAAATAAACTGTATTATTTTTCATTTTTACTGTAGTTTTAAAATTTTTGCTAGGAAAAACTAATTTTGCTTTTTTTTTTTTTTTTTTTTGTTCATATTTTCAGTAGCTAATACTATAACTATTTAGAAACCCTTTCTATGTCATGACTATTAGAATCTTGATATACCTTTTTTTATATTGTTCAGATCAGATCCATTATAATTATTTGTGTTGCCATGAGGGCCTGTTTGTTGTCTATTGCAATGAATATTATAAATGCATTTATGCAGGAAAGCTTACAAAATATAAAAGGTAATACTCAAGAATACAGTTAACTGAACTACACCATGCCAGAACTCTTATCCAGTTATAATGAATTGACTTGATTTCAAAATATTCCGTTTGTTTTGCTAATTCAAACCTATCTATCCACCACTGCCAAGTTTTAATTTATGAAAATTATTCCGTATGTATTGTTATTAGGGATCTGTTTCCTTGTGGTTTGTTTGAATATTTTATTCCTCTTTATCTTAAAATGTTTATTGGGATGCTATCATGGCGTTCTATCGATCATTTTTCTTTTTTGTCCTTGCTTTTGAAGGGTATAGTATATGGAGACCGGGAGTGTGGTCAGGGGATTAACACCAGAGTTAAAAAAGCTCCCCTCGGCACCAGGACGTGAATTTGGGACATTATTTTATCATATTATTCACTATCCAGGTTGCCAGGCAACGCATGGTGCTGTGCACACATGTTAGTCCGCTCGGCCACCCTTCCCCATTCTATCAAACATATTTTTTTATTTTATTTTTCATTCTTCCCTTTCTCTTCTTTTAAGCTATACAAGGTTTTCTTGGGCCAGGGGGTGAGGGTAGGGAATTAATGCCAGAGTTAAAAACCACTGGCACTGGGAAAGCGAACTTGTACTTATTTTATTTCGTATGATTTCGGTTAAAAAGGCTGTGCACACGCGATAGCCTGCTTAGCCCGCCCCTTCTGTCGAACATACAAAATGATTATCTGTGCTCTATTGAAACAATTTCAAATAATAACAGATTAATTTTTGTCATGTTTTTGAACTTTCATCACTTTGTCCTTGATTGAAAAAGATTCACTTAGAGGTCTTTTTTAATTTCTTTACCGAGCAAGTAGAAGTTCATTTAATTAATCTCAAACAGTAATGAAGAAGGTACTACTTGTAATATTTCTCCACTTTGCTGGGTGGGCACTAGATTTCATAATCACAGTAAAAATGTCATACTGAGAATGGCACAGTATTGACTATCTGTTCGTGAGTTTAACCTTCCTTTATTTAGATTTCTATAATGACTTTCGCAAACTTCTTACTGGTCTTTTTCCATTAAACTCAGGCCATAACTAGCTTCAATTATATCTATCATTTCCATTTCTGCTCCCACAAGAGGAGTAAACAACCCCCCAACTGGTCCTTTGCTCTTGAGGTTGGAGCCTTACCAGAGGGTTCTGACTACTACCTCTATTTTCTGCTTCACCTGGAACGAATATCATTAATAGTGTGATCATGAGATTTTGTGCCTATCCATCAAAGTGGAGTGGTGTAACACTTGTACAGCAATATTTAAAAAATATGTAATAATGTCATACAGACTATTTTAGAAACATTACAAGGAGAAGCTATGAACATGAGGTCACCAATATCAATGAAAATTGTTTTGGTGATACTTTCTGTAATATTTTCCTACTTTTGTTCTGAATGGATTTCTAGGTTATTATATATCAATGGATTTGTGGGTTTTTTTGTTCGTAAAATAAGTAAAACCATATTATTGATTGTATTCAAATGATAATAAATTACTAATATAACAAGATGCTTCCAGGAAAACTGGCGAAGACAATTTTTTACATGAAAAACGATTCAGATTTATTTGTAATCGCTTGTGCATGTAATCTTACTTAAGATACCCGTCTGGTTCAGAATAAAAACCATATTTGATGATCTGCTAAATTATGAGTGCAATATTGACATTTTGTAGAACTCAAAAGTTTTACAGAAACAAACACTAGAAACAAATCTGAATCATTTTTCATGACAAAAATTTTCTTGGCCTGTTTGCCTGTAAGTATCATTTGGTATTAATAAATTTACCATTATATGAATTTGTGTAATCCAATCAGCAATATATTTTTCTTATTTTACATTTAAAAAAATCTATTGATATATTATAACCTAGAAATCCATCCAGAGCAAAGGCAAAAAACAATATATTAAATTTTTGTTTTCTCAGCTCCTATGACCCGTTGATAAGAACCCTCGGAAAAGGGTGTTATATTTTTTAACCTAGTATCACATAGTAGTAGAAAAATTATTCAGATTCGTTTTTAGTGTCCTGTAGAGCTCTTGAGCTCTACAAAATCTCAATATTGTCCTCATAATTTAGCTGAATGTCAAATATGATTTTTATTCTGAACCAGACGGGTATCTTAAGTAAGATTGTATGCACAAGTGATTAGAAATAAATCTGAATCGTTTTTTCATTACAAAAATTTTCTTGGCCCGTTTTCCTGGAAGTATCTTCTGATATTAGTAATTTATTATCATTTGAATTCATTTAATACAAGCCGTAATGTGGTTTTTCTTATTTTATACAGAAAAAAAACCGCTAATCCATTCATATATTATAATGTAGAAATCGATCCAGAACAAAAGTAGGAAAAAATATTAGAGAAAGTATCACCAAACAAAGTTTCGTTGAAATCGGTGACCACACTTCCCTAACCTCTCCTTGTTAGTAAAACACCCACCCAGTTTTCGGCTCCCATTGCGGTTATTGAAGAATAACTAGAATTTGTCGTGGGAATCTCTTCTGCACTCACACATTCTAGCATCTTCCACTATTTATTTAGTTTTAATGGCCGAAAAAATCACTGAAGATTAGAAAACCGATAGGTATCGCCCAGAAAGAACATATCATTGGTTTTTGGCAGGATACACATATTCCTGGATAATATAATAATTCTTTATGTTTTTTAAAATTGGTTAAGGAGTGCCAAAAACTGATGCATAGGGATATTTTTATGTTTTACTATAAAAAAATAAATGAAAAAACATATATATATTTTCAAACTAGAGATCTTTACTGACCTATCACAACTGAAATTGTTGAACCAAGTACCCACACGATTGAAAATGTAACGAACACATTTTAAAGTTCCCCTAAAAGTGCTGAAAACAGAGGTTTTTACACTAAATGAAAGGTGTCAATATCTAACTGCTAATCAATATCAGGGATGTGGTACTTTATTGTATTTTCCTGTTCCAATACATACTTAACATCATTGTTTAAGATATCATTTTACACTTGATTACACACTTCACTTTTTATTTATAATTTTAAAAAAATTAACTATTCTGATACAGAAGTGATATAATTAATAATTAAGGTATTATTTTACTTTTGTTATGGTTTCCTATTTACTGATTGCTGATTATCAGTTTTTTATAAATTATTCATAAGGATTAAATATTCTGGAGTATCGCCAAAAATAATTCATTAATGAAATTAATTTTAATTTTAAGTGTTCACAATGAATATCTTAGTAAACATTCCTATTAATTGATAATTCCTATTATTACTTATATTAAACTTAACCAAAAAGACCGCATCACCTAACATAAATATTCTGTATCCTCTCATAATTTTACCGCCTCCAAATTATCCCAACATTCTCTTTCCCTAAACCATAAATTTGATTTCGACAAAACTTCCATCCTTGCCTCCATCTCTAACCATGACAAACGACTCATCTCTGAAACTCTCCACATCCAGCTTCAACCTAAAACAGTGAATCTAAAAACAAACAAAACTTATCCTTAGCCTATTCCCAAATTCTGAATTTATTAAAACAATCTCCTTTTTCATTTTCCCTGACAACTTCCTTATTTTTCTTTAATTTAATTCATTTTTGTTATATTTAATCTTATTGATGTATTCCTTTTTGTTTTCTTTATCTCACATTTCATGTAGACCAGTTATACTTCACTTTTGACTTAGCACTTATTATCTCAGCATTATGTTATCTCCTTAATTTATTCTATATTATATTATTGTACCATTTTTATCTTTATTTTATACTAAATTATATTATACTTTCTCTTTATTTTTAATTCTTTTCGTTTCCTTTCATCACGCGTTTTGCATAGATCATTAATACTCCATTATTATTTAATGTTTATAACCTCTACATTATACCATTTCCTTAATTGCTTGATAAATAGATTTACTCATTTCCATACAACTTTCAGTTTTCTTTTTCTTTAATCTCACGTTTCAAGCGGATCAGGTATTCTCCATTATTACTTAACATTTATTATTTAATTTTTATTATCTCTATTGTTTACTATCTCCAGATCATTTCCATCCTCTTTCAATTAAACTTTTATTTAGTAATTCATAGTATTTATCTATAAGATATCTTTCATCCATTATATACGTTTCCTGTACTTTAGTTCAAAATTTTTCAGTCAACCGTTAGAGATGGTGCAACAATACAGCTCCCCCCTCTCTTGCTACGATACCTCTATCTCTCCAAGCCGGTTGTTTATCTATCATCTTAGTTTTCTCTTTCCTTCCACTCTATTTTCCATATCTCCATCTCTAATTTGTATATATTGATACATTTGCTCATTTTTTTTTTTTTACTTTAACTTTTTATTCTCTTATACGTAGTCAGTTTGATAGATTTTACAATATCTTAATTTTCTATTCATGTCTATTATTTCCTTATATAACTTCCTATTCCTTTCCTATGTTTTACATTTTATTATATGATTACTATTTTTAGTTCTTATGTTACCTTATTTTAATTGTGTTTACTTCATTAGTCCGTACTTTTTAGCCGTTATTTTATTTTATTTCTTTTACTTTAAGTTTTCCTACCTACATTAGTTATGTTTCTCTTACCTATTGTTATCTGGTTCTTTTATCAGCCCTGATGAAGGCCTGAACTTTGGGTCGAAAGGTCAGCAAATGTAAAATTAAATATTTTTATTATTATTAAAATTTACTTTAGTTGCTTGGCAATAATAACTTCCAGTTATTAACAATTCGAGTATATTTTTAACGTTACATGTTAACAGGGTAGTTTACGTTTCGGGACCTTTTATTCCCATCTTCAGAACTGCAATTCCAATACTCTTGTGGATGCAAGGCTAAACATTTTTTTAAGTTACAATATTGTGCTTGTTACATTACATATTTGTATTATGTTTGTTACAATAAATTTGTAATTACCTTAATTTTAATAATAATAATAATGTGCTCCATCGTCAATTTTCTAATTTATGTTCTAAAATTTATCATCTAGAGCAACATCCTCCTTTTGACCAATAATTGGGTTTCTGCCATAGTTAAAAATTGACCTTTGGATCTAAATGTTTTATCTGACTATTTTGATTGTTGTTGTTAGTGTTTATTTTATGTGTCTGTGATTTCACTTCTATTAAATTTTAATTTTGTTCAATATGTCTGTATAATGGGTTCCTAAATGTTTAGTGTCTGTTTTGTAGTTGACTGTTGTTTTTTGTAATGTGTATTGTTTCAAGTAATTTTCTATTGGTGTTTTTTGGTTCTGTGCCTATTATCTGTGGTTTGTTAAAGTTAAATTTATGCTGTAGTTTTATACTGTGATGTGCTAAGGCTGTTGTGTTTATGTTTTTTGGATTTTTACAGTTGATGATGTGTTGTGAGATTCTAGTTCCTAATTTCTTTGTGAGATTCTAGTTCCTAGTTTGGATGTTTCACCAATGTAGATTTTGGGGCAGTTTTGACAGTTTAATTTATACATTGCATTTTTCTTGTTTATTGGTTCTATTTTATCTCTTAGTTTCTTGTTATTGTATTGTCCAAATTTAATTTCTGTCAAGTCATAATCTTTGAACACGTTTTTAATTTTGTTAGTGAGTCCAGGTATGTATATCATTTTGTAGTGGTAGATGAAGTCCATTTTGTTTGTTTGTGCTATGTTATCCTGATTGTTTTCGTTTGTTGGATTTGTTTTTTCAAAAAATTGGGTGATGAATTGTTGTGTAAGTTTCTTTATTGTAGTGTTTTCTTCTGGTGTTTTTTGTATTGTTTGTTTTTTGGCTCTAATTTTGTTATGGTTTAGTGTTGTATGTAATCGACTATACCAAAGTTTGTTGATTAAGTTTATGGTGTAAAAGTTCTCGATAAGTATTTTGTGTATTTCTGTTTTTACTTGTGGGATGTAAGGTTTGTCAGTGAGTTCTATTGATTTGTGAATTAGATTCTTGGCTGTGTTAATTATTTGATGTTTGGTATGGTTTGAGCTAAAGTTAAGAATTCTGTTGCTGGTATTCTCTTTTTTTGTCCATTTAGTAAGTATCTGTCCTTTGTCCATATCCAAAAATCTGAGTCTATTGTTTGTGGCTTTTTCTATTGTAAATTTGATCCTTTTGTTGTACTGGTTGAAGCTTTTCATTATATCATTTTCCGAATCTTTTTTTTATTATGAGTAATAAGTCATCTATGTATTTCTTAATTAACAGTGGTTTTTGTTCTAAGTTAGTTAGTTGTGTTGTGATTAGTTTGTTTAAATATATGCCACTTAAATTCGTTGATAGAGTACTTCCCATCCCGACTCCCCAAAGTTGTTTATAGAATTCATTGTTGTATTTGAAATAATTATTTCTTGTACAGAGATTTATTCCCTCGATAAATATTCTTTTGTCTTTGATTTTGGTTTCACTTTTTACACTGTCCCAGTTGTCGTCAATAATTTTTATACATTCATCTAATGGGATATTAGTGAAAAGTGACTCTGCATCTAAACTTATGATTTCTACATCTTTTAACTCACATTGGAAATTTTTAATTATTTCTTTCAATTTTTTAGCATTTTTGATGTTAAAGTTATTATTATTATTGAGAGAGTTGAGAGATGGGTTTAGGAATTTGGAGAGAGCTTCAGTTGGTCCATCTATGTTGTTTATTATGGGTCTTAGTCTGTTATCAGTTTTGTGTAGTTTTATGAGGCCATATATTCTAGGTGTAGTGGAGTCTGAGGCTGAAAGTTTATTTTTAATGTATCTGTCTATGTACCCTAGCTTATGGAGTTTATTAACATATGTATTGACTTTAGTATTTATTTCAGGTATCGGATTGTTTCTTGTTTTCCTGTAAGTGTTTTTGTCACTTAATAGCTCCTCCATTTTGTCATTGCTATTTTTTTAGTTTTATCCGATTTTATTATAACTATATCTTTATTTTGGTTAATTAACTGCTTAAGCTTGCTAAGGTCTTTGTTTATTTGGATGTTGAAGGGTGATATTGCTTTATTTTTGTTGGATACAAAGTTATTAATAAGAGTACATATTTTATTTCTTGTTGCATTTATGTGATTCTCTGATGTATTTAAATTGATAATAAGAGTGAAATCACAGACACATAAAATAAACACTAACAACAACAATCAAAATAGTCAGATAAAACATTTAGATCCAAAGGTCAATTTTTAACTATGGCAGAAACCCAATTATTGGTCAAAAGGAGGATGTTGCTCTAGATGATAAATTTTAGAACATAAATTAGAAAATTGACGATGGAGCACATTATTATTATTATTAAAATTAAGGTAATTACAAATTTATTGTAACAAACATAATACAAATATGTAATGTAACAAGCACAATATTGTAACTTAAAAAAATGTTTAGCCTTGCATCCACAAGAGTATTGGAATTGCAGTTCTGAAGATGGGAATAAAAGGTCCCGAAACGTAAACTACCCTGTTAACATGTAACGTTAAAAATATACTCGAATTGTTAATAACTGGAAGTTATTATTGCCAAGCAACTAAATTACATTGACAACTTCCCAGGAAAAAAAAAGAAAAAATTAAAATTTACTTTTGCCTGATCACCCCAACCATCCTTTTCTTCAATTATTCACTACAGTCAACCATCAACCCACAATTAACAAAATTTAATTTTTTTATTTTCAAGGTATTGGATGACAAAAATGTGCGTAGAAGGTTCAGAGCAAGCAACTATCAATCGACAACTAGAGTGAAGCCTTTCATTTGTACTATGCCAATGAGGTTAGATGATGGCTGGAATCAAATTCAGTTCAATCTTGCCGATTTTACTCGCCGGGCTTATGGTACCAACTACGTTGAAACTCTCAGAGTTCAAATTCATGCTAATTGTAGGATACGAAGGGTATATTTCTCGGACAGACTATATGCAGAAGATGAATTACCAGCTGAATTTAAATTATTCCTACCAATTCAAAATAAGGCTAAGTAGTTAAAGGTGACATTAGTTTTATACTATACAAGTGCCTACTCAGAAGACTAATCATTTAAATGATTAATTTTTAATAAGAGAAAAAGTCTATGTAAAGTTGTACTGTGTACAACTATATTCTTCATGTAAAAGTACAATTATAATTCCATAAAACTGGAGAATTTTACACCTTGAGGAGTAATATTACTTCAAAAGCAATTCCCAAGTGAGTCTACTCCATTAGTTTTTACTTATTCTAGTTTTAAATTAATATTACTTCCAAGGTATAAAACCTCATTTTACGGTTCTATGGCAATATCTCCAATTGCCATATTGTAACTAGTCCATTAAAAATTAGATTTAAGTAATGGACATAATTTATTTGATTTACTTCAAAGGGTTTATATTCTAAATAAGATTTGCTTGTATTTTTAAATTTTATCATTACACAAAATTATTATTATATAACTATAAATGTCAGTTTATTAGCTACAATTAATTTTTATGTGCCTATGTATATATATTTTTGTAATTATTTGCTCCCACACAATTTTTTTGAACCTGCAAACTAATTATCTTCACCAATTTTTTTATTATAACTATCATCAACCCTTTAAAGTTTATTTATTTTATAATATTTTTAAATGTTTGTTTAAGAAAAAATAAAACAAATTTATAAAAACTAGGTATTCTTGTTATACTTTATTAAAACTTCCTTAAGAACAAATATGACTGACTGTGAAGAGCTAAAAATATTCCTGAAATTAAGCTGAAACACCTCAGCTAAAAAAAAATGCTGCTCCTCTTTCATTTCAATGTGTAAAAAAAAAATATCACTGATACAGAAATATAAAAAAAGTATCAAATTGTATTCAAGAAAAAATAGAAAGGAAATTTCACATCTAAACATGTGAATGGTTCAAGTCAGAACAGATAAGAAAGCTGGTTTTCTTAATCTTTTATGTACGGCTATGTTTAAAGACAGAATATGGTCTAAAATCTAGAGTGAACATCTCAGCTTAGTATATCTTATAACCCCTCATAAGTGTTACCATAAAACAACACTTTTAACTCACAATTGGAATATATATATTATGATACTACAGAATGGACCATTGGTTTCAGTGAATGTTTTCGCTAAAGTGGCTATACTCCACATTTTTCATCAAGAAAAAAAAATTGATTAAAAAATATTTTTACATTATAGTATTTTATTTTGTTGGTACTTATAAAGTCTAATTAGCATGAATTTCATGGTGACAAATGCCACTTGTAATTTGAAAATCAAACATTTCGTTCAGGAGGAAATTGGTATGTAAATTCTATTAATTTTGACACTCAACTGAAAGTAGTATATTAAACCTTAAGGACAACTCGGGTTATAGTATTGTGGACTTGTTGAATTTGAGATGAGGTAATTAAATTTGATGGCTTCAAACATATCTTAGGAGAACTGACCAAATGAGTAAAGTATAATGATATAAAATAATTTATTTACAATATATACAACAATTTATATATAATACAGGCAAATTAAATAAGTATTGGTTTAACTAAATTTATTGAAACCAATACCAACACCAGATACCAGGACTTTGTTGGTTCCTTTTTTTAACTCATTTTCATCTTCTTCAAAATAAGGTTCCAACTTAAACATGACATTCAGGAAAGCTATTATATGCCTCATCATTTCGATTCTAAAACAATAAATAAAGTGATTTATTATTAATATTGGGAAACAAAGGCATGAATGATTAAGAATTACATTACATTTCAAAAATAAGGCTTAACATATTTAACTTGATGCTGAAGTTCTATTGAATATAATTTATTTACATATCTTATTAACTTTTTATTCCAAAAGAATTTTTACGATAAAGAAATATTGCACATATGGAAAAAAGATAATGTAAACATACATTTTTCTTTAGATTAAATGGTAATTTTATGTAAAATATACATATTAACTCAAAATAGGTATGTCCATATCATGATCTGCAGTGCAAATTGTATTTCCTTTATAACAAAAGATTATTTAAAAAAATTTAAATGCACAACTTCAACAATTCATGACTGAACAATTAAATCAATGTTTTTACAAAAGTGTATATTCAGATTTCAGTAGAAAGACAATTCTTCCCCAGCAAATTAATTGCCCAGATTTTTTTTTTTAATTTTAATAAAAAAAATGCTACAACTAAAAATTAAAAAAATACATGCAATAACACAACTTGTGCACTAAACCTATGTAGATGTTTAATTTACCCATATATTGAGAGAGGGCCAAATAGCATCTGAGAGACATCTTTCTGACCAAAAGCCATGTATATAAGCGCTAATCCTTGGAAGCTGGAATCAACTAATCCTCCTCTAGAAATTTCTTCCATCAGCAGCCAGGCAGCTTGTTTCCCAAGGTCTTCAGGTACCTGCCTTTCCTTGGGCAAGCTATTCTTCTCTGCGGTAAATATTATTTCCTTGGTTGTTTCAGCAACAAGTGTGCCTCCAAAACCTAAATGTTTCGCAGGGATGCATTATAACAGTCATAACTAACATAAATTAAATTAAAATAGCAATAATAATAAATAATAGATAAAATGAAACTCAATGGGGAAATAGACTCAATATACTCAATGATTAATTGCCCTTGTTTACCCTGTGAATCCAGTAAGAAAAGACTAGGAAAAACATATCATTCCATTATAATGACTATGATTTTCAAAAAAGTAATTAACATTAAACACAAATATTGAAATACTTCGACACCTTCAGTAATACATTTATTCAGCAATTATTTATTATTATTATTTATTATTCAGCAACATGCCCTGATGATGATTTGGGTTGAAATGTCAGTAACAATAAAAATCTTAAAATGGCTGCGTCCTGACTATTTATCACTTATGACATAGTGAGACATTTGTCTAGCATAAAAGCGTAGGAAAGAGAATCACTTTATTTTCATAAAAACATGCTGCCCAATTACATTGGGTTGCTTCAAATTACAGCATACTTATTAGTCATTACAGACAATTTTTTTAAAAATTAATATACAAATATATAGTATTAACAATATGTATGAGCATAGTATAATTTTTTTTTTTTTTTTATACATATATGTATTTTTTTGCTTTTCTTCTTTTTTGACAATTTCTTTCATTAATTCATTTCATGTCTTAGGGAATGCTACAATGTCAGCATATGGGGTGGATCCATCCGTATCTATGCAATATACTTCCTCGAAACAGGTATAGTCTCTCTCTTTAAGCAGCCTCATCAGTTCATGTCTGACTCTGTGATGACAGTGTGTTATAAGGAGGGAGTTATTGGGGGCATTTGCACATGTGCTGGTGTTTCTGGCTCTCTGACCTTTAAATCACTGAAGTTAGATCTTTTTTGTGTGTATATGGAATAACTAAATAGGATTTTTTTTTTTAGAGAACATTTGAAAAAAGATCTATTTTAGTGCAAAATTTCAAAAAGATCCTATAGGACTTTGCTTGTATTTTAAATCTATTACTCAAGATCAGGATAGATTTATCGAGAACTCTGTTTTGTCTTAAACAGAAAAAAGGAGAAATCCTTAAAATCCAAGCCTTAATAATTATTATTAAAATTCTTCTTATTAAATTAAAAATGTTTATCTCTTTTCTAATTATACCTATAAATTATTAAAGTAACTAAAATCATAAAATACAAAAACAAATTTTAACATAAATAATAATAGGATAAAAATTCAGTACCTGGAGATTTTCCAGCACATTGACCTTTTAAATGATCACTTGTAATGAATACATCAGGAATAAATTTTAACATTTCACCCTTCGCTGCTTCAATGAATCTGTTGGCCATCGAAGGTGAGACTTTTGATGCAAAAGCTATACCTCTTATCTTTTTAATTTTTCCCATTTCCTTTACCTGAGACAGAAAACACAATTAATACAACGAACAAAACAAAAAAAATTATGAACAAAATCTGGTGATATATCTAAGTCTCTTCAGAAAGGTTAAGGTAAACATATATTTATTTATTAGAACAAAACCTATAAGTTTACTACCAAAAGGATACACAGTATTTTTCTTCAGCTTTGAAACAAGAGGAATGAAAACTCTAAAGAAAATAGTCTTTCTTCTAGACTCTAAAACATTAATGCTTGATCTTATCTCTAACAATCAAAGTGAATGTTATTGGATAATTTTAGGTTAAAAAAAAATCGATAGGTTGAGTTTTAGAACACTCTGCAATCATTTGTTCAAATTCAACTTTTTATTTTATATACATTCACGAGATTCTATTTCATAAAATTAAAAAAATATTCATTCTGAAGTCTCCAAATATGGAAAATAATTTTTTTAAATCTCGGAGTATCAAAATATTCCCTCAACAACTCACTTTAAAATAACAAGATAGAAGTAAAAATGAATAAATAATTCATTATTCTTAAAAATGAAGAATCGAAATGTCTTTAATCTCCTCCATTGACATAATTTGACAAAGTAATAAGTTTTTCCTATATTATAACATGTTCACTGATTTATTGGTTTTTGATAATGTGAATTATAATTTTCAAATTAAATTGGTGCAAGTTTTAGATAATGTCAAAAAAGGACAAGGTTCTAGGAGGAAATAAATACACATTCTCCGAAAATCATAAGGGGTTGGCCTATTGACATTTTAACTAACCAGCAGCTGTCTTTTGAGATCACTAAACAAATTTAAGTGCAGTGAATGGTTTTGTTTAAGTGCTATAAATGCTTTGAGGCTATCACTGCAGAAAGGCATTATAACCTTAGAAATGCCGAGTCTAGTGGCACTGAATCCAGTCTGGGCAGGTTGAAATTTATTTTGTGGCAGACCCACAGAATAAATCTCGACACTTCCACTCTAATTAAAATAGAATGGTTACCTGTGGGTTGTCCCTCCTCTCCTCTGTATGCCAGAGATGGCCAGGTAGGATAACAAAATTGAAAGAAAAATCTTCTCCACAACAATCAGTATAATATGAGATCAGTATTAGTATCACAGGAGAAGGACCAATAAAGAACTGTTTACAGAAACAGGTAAATTATTATCTCATGATATGAAGGCAAGTGGGTTGAGATGAGTGGGACATATAGCTTGGAACTATTTGTCAGGAAGCTTCTACACAATAATGGATGCCTCAATAATTGTCAAGAAACCATTTTAGAGGTAAAAAAAAAAAAAAAAAAAATTGATAGATTGGATCAACATATAGAAAACTGGAAAGGTATGGCCCTAGATAGGCAAAGGTGAAGGCTGGTTCAGGTGGCCTACAAGGTCCATGAAGTCAACAGAAAAAAATAGAATATACAAAAAACAATTTTATATTAAATAATCATATAAATTATAAATGCTTTCTAATAATAACATTTACCTGAATAGGTTTCAATTTAAGAGAAGGACAAGTAAAAGTAATTTCACCACCTCCATCTGGTTCCAATCCACGTTTATTAATCTTAAAATCAATCCCTGGATCAACAACTATAAACTGTTTTAAAACTGATAGACCTCCATGTTTGAAAGAATCAACTGAAGGATCACACTATAAATAAAAAATGTATAGATAATATAAAGATTCTATTTATATTTATTATAATAATGTTTATACATTTCAGAGCTTTGGTTAACAAAATAACTAAATGTAACAATTTATTGATTGTTATATTTAATGAATCACAATTTAAAAATACAATCTACTTTATTTAATCAATACAAGTGTAACTGACACATGTTGTCATACAAATATTATGTTGACATCAATAAAAATCTTCACTGATTAAAAACTAACTGGCCCATTAACTCTCTTATTGATCGACTATCTCTGTGTATGAAACTATTTACTCAAACAGTAGTGTGTCTTGATCTTTATAGACCAATGGAGAATAAAATATATCATCAGTGGCATCTATACTGCTCAATAATGAATAAGGATATTTCTGTTTGATGCATTTATTTATTTGTTTTAATTAAAATTTTATTTTTTTTTTTTGTTTGTTTGTTAGGAATTATCTTCTTTGTTGGTAAAAATAAAAAGTAAATAACAAGTATTCTTTATTTTTAATAAATTATTATCTGAATGGTAGTCAACTAGCTATTGAGAACAGGGGATGGATACCCTGCCACAGTTCCTTAAATGTAGCCTAGAAGTACAATGAATTCAGGAGGGCGGACGGACTCTACTTCTCACTGTGGAAGGTAATCTCTCTCATTTTAGTTTGTTATGTTCAGGAAATTACAGAAGAAATTATATGGAAGTCATTATGTAACTTCCACAATTCTCTATATCTTTTTGTAGCTTGTCCGTTCCAGCCCTAAAGAAGACCTGTAAAGTTGGGTCGAAACGTTGGCTTTTAATAAAATAGTTTTGCCACTATTTAGTCTATTTATGTCCGCCACCCCAGACCATCTCCTTCCTTCAAAAATAAATCAATTTTACAAAATGCTTACAAACTCCAATCATAAAAACAAGATCACATAAACCTTTTATTTTATTATTTGTTTGAAACACCTTGTATGCAATTTCATAAGGCCAAATACAATCTTATTTATATTGATTTTCAATGTATTTTATGATAAAATTAAAATAAAAGTTCAAGTGGGAATAAATCATACATAACTAACAATATTCATTTTTGAACAGTATAGATTTCATTTCACATTTCAACAGATAGATTAAACACATTTTATAAAATACTTTGTCACAAAGTTTAGCTTAAATTGTTTCAAAACATCCACAGGTTCACAGTGAAATTAAAAAAATTACTCCACCCGCTCACTCAAAAGATCGTTAAATATCTACAAGCAGTCAACCATAACACAACAGTATACTCCTTATGTCTTCAGTGTTGTCAGATAAAAATGGATAATGTTCTAATATAGTTACTAACAGTAACTAAGTGAAGAGCACAAGGGCTGGAGAATCCTCAAATATAAAATTTTATAATTCAAAGGTTTCAGAAAATAAAATATTATATTATGAAAACTATTGAACAGTGAATGGAACTACTTAAAATGCGTTCTTTACCATGATGATGAGGAATAAGATCAGAAGATGGAATTCAAAACAGGTTGGGTGTAAGTGAACGAACCCATGGTAAGACCTCAACTTCAACTGAAAAGGATCCAATAGGAATATTAATCACTTTTGAGCGAGGGAAAGTCGTGAGTAACAATATAGTTTATGCTAATTATAAGGTCTGGCTATGATTAAAAGAGCTCTGTTTTCGTTAGTTATATGCCAGTTTATTTCTGACCATTGTCATTCATTGAGGTTATGGTGAAGTCCAAGCATTTGAATTTTTCAACTCTCGGAAAAATCTTCCTTTTACGCAGATCTTGTTATAGGGTGGAATTTTCCGTTTATTATCATACATTTTGTTTGGTAAAATAGAAGAACATATGCAAAGTAATTCCCATTGAATTTCAAGTTTAATCTCCTCAATGAGCAAAATTTTTAAAACAAAATATTGCTACAGTTCATAATAGTTTTAGTAAACAATGATCTCATTAACAATATGGTAGTCTAAAGAAAAAAAAATTGCTAAAACTTCACAAATGTCACTCCAACGTGGGGCTGCCCCAAGATCACATGATGACATTTAACAATAAATGCAATTTTGAAAATGGTAGGGAATTGTCGAACTTGTTCAAAGTTATTACCTCATTTATACATCTCAACTTTTGCTCACTCAAAAGAAATAAAGAAAGGCTCAACTGGTCCTTTACAGTTGAGGTCGCAACCACAACAAGAGGATAAGGAGCCCCTGTGAACTTTTGGCTGACATTAATGCACTTCTGAAATTCCATACATGGTGTGACCAAAGTGACCTTGGTCCAGCTACCATGTTTAAATGACACTTCTGAAGCAGTTTCAAAATCATATGACACTAATAAAATAAGAAAGTGATGAAACATAGAGAAGTTTAAAAACAATACCTGATTATTTGTAACACCTCTCAGAGTTATGGAGATTGGTTTCTTACAGAAAGGTGCAAGGGCAAAAATGACTTCTAAATAGTAACCAATGCCACGAAGTTTACAACATTCATGGTCTATTTGTCCACCAAGTAGTGAACCAGGAGTAAAAGAAAAACTTGTTCCAGTTTCACTGACTTCTAGCCACATTCCATTCATGAGTTTATCCAGCAAACGGAGAAGATTTACTTCATACTCTACAAAGAATATTACGGGTCATAACATCCATTAGCTAGTAATCATAATCTCATCCAATTTATAGAAAATAAGAATGAATATACCTCTAAGTCCAGGCTCAGTATCCTTGGTTCGAATGTCAGAAATGTATATTGATTTTCCGGTCAATATAGAAAGTATGAGTCTTTGCCTCATAAAATTGCTTCCTTTGAAACGGAGAACATTTGCATTTTGGCCTGGCATTGTACAAACTTGATGAGAACACGCCACTATTTTTGAAAACGAGAAGGTGATCTTAAAACAGGTTAGGAGCCATGGATTGATGCAGAGAGCTACAAATATTCATTAATCGAACAACACATAGCATAAACTAAATTTGTAATTTTCAGATACAATAGTTGCAAGGATATCATAAAAATTCAACTCCATTAAAATTAACAACAAAAACTTCGGTAAACTCATTATAAATAACTTTCTTTCAATCGCACCGATATAATTTAAAATATACTTCCACAAATATACGTCCATTTATTCTTTTATAAGAAAACAAAACATGGACCATTAATTGCAAATGTCGCTGGAGGCTGTAAAACATAGTGGCCAGAAACTAAAGATTCTGTAGTTGGAAGTAATACCATTTAGAATCTGATTGGTAATTGTTGACTTTAATTTTGTGGTAAACCAATATCAATAATAAATCGACCTCTTAATCACCAAATTAGGATGTTAAATGACGGATATAAATAATCAGTGAGATAATAGTGTTATATATTACCTTAGCTACGATCTACTTAAAAATAACATAATTTCTAAAACTTTTGCGGAGTTTATTTTGTATTAACTTCAAGGATTACATACATAAATTTATATTGGTTAAAACACAGATTTTTCAAACCACTGAATTTCGTTTTCATGTTACTAATTCCTAAATTATTAATATTAACATCTGTTAATATAATAACAGTATTTATTGTTTGATAAGGCAGGATGTAAGTGGCAAGTAATAAAAAAGAACGGTAGCCTTCAGTAAGCCATAAAAATTCTATAATATTACATCGGGCCCAATAAATTTAACATTTTTGTAAATATTTACTTATGGCTGGATTATTCTTACAGAAGCAATCGCTGGAAAAAGCAGCGAAATCTCTGAAATCTAATCCAAAGGTAATATATTACTGTTAATTTAAGGTACTTTTGAAGTATCGATTTTGTTTGAAATCCTGACAGCTTATTATTGAAGAATTACTGTTTCTAGTGATTGTATTTTACAACTCTCAATTGAATTAGTGATTGGTCATAAATTCAAGCTATATTTCTTCGGAAAACCAAAATTTCCGCTATATACATCCAGTCTAATCTTCTATTATCTTATTATCCATTCCTGAAACGACACCTCTTATCTTGCACCGACAATCCCTCCTTCGTCACCGTTATGGTTCAGCGATCTCCTTGATACATCTCTAAGTCTCCAAAGGTTTTCAAGGGATCTCTAAAAATCTAACTAAAGTAGACTGATTCTCCAATGTTTCCATAAGCTGACTAGTCTCTTAGGTTTCTAGCTGTGGGATTTCATTATCATCATCATGTAGATATTGTTTTCCTAGACAAATCATCCCTACGCACCTTATTAGCTGTTCAGATCGTGATCACATAATTAAATAAATGTTCTCAGGCATGGATGACTAAGCAGACACCCATGATGTTCTCTCCTTTATCACCTTCAATCAATTTGGGGATTCCACAATCTTAATTGGAACCTCTGCCGAGTACTATAGTTTTACTTTTACACATAAATTTAATCATATCTTCTCATAAGATTTCAAAATATGAAATTTGAAACTTTGAATCAAAAAAATTATTTATTTTCTCAATATTTCTTCACACAATCCACTTGATAACGCAGTTAATAAAACTCAAAAATAGAATAAAATCCTCCAAAAAAATAATTTCTAGTTTCTGGATCCTAGTCTAGAGACCAAATTTACATTGGCTTAATTTATATGTTTCATTTTAATATATTCTTCAGCCTTTTAGAAATGGGCCTGCACATTTTTTACAAGTTTAAACAAAAACATCATTTGAAACAATTTTAATGGTAACAACGCCAATTAGAAAAAAAAATCACTATTCTACAAATAATTGTTTCCTTGTTAATTTTATGTGGTACACTTGGGATGGTATACTCTCAATTATACATTGTCAAAAATCATCTCATGATTTTATATATTACTTTAGATAAAGTACCTAATACCTATCATAAGCACCATTTTTTTCTACGAGCTTCATTAGGTGTCATTAATTATCCTTATGGATAATCTCACCTTTCTGAGAAGCACCAGTTTTTACTAATCGTATGTAAAGAATTATTGAGCTTTGGTATTAACAACTACTATTTTAAAATTCTATTAATATTCTCTCATAACCAAATTTGTTCCTTCCATCTGACTAAAAGTATTACTACCGATTGTTATCGGTAGTAATACTGTTGTATTAACATAATTTCCATGAGACCAGCTCAATTCACTTTATGAACGTGAAGTATAAATGTAATGTATTTAATATATTATAAATAACGGGAGTGAGACAGCTCTGTAAGGCACTTTACTATAGGAGATTATTTATTCAATTACACTTGCGGTGAATCGACTCTGAGATCGGTAGATCCTCCTGTGTAACACTCATCCTCTATAAAATGAGAACTCGATGTGATCTAGGTCAAATCACCTGCAGGTAACAACCAATAACCAAGAAACAGTACTTCCTTGAGAAATAATGAATCCAAACCCTCCCTCCATGTGTTGTAGTGGTAAAGGTTGCTGTTAATGTAAAGTGTTACGACCAAATTTGTTCCTTCTATCTGAATATAAGGATTACTAATGACAGCATTACTGTTGTTGCAACTGAGTCAATTAAATAAGAATAATGGTCTTAAGTTAAAAACATCAAGTACTTATTTTTTGTTTGCCTTTTAATTTAAATTATAATACCTTTTCAGGAATGCTCTCGCTTTTACGATTGTTTTCTTGGCTGTACGACCAAGAAGCACTTCCATGTTAGTTCATCACTGTTAGAAACGAAAGGAAAGGAGAAGAAAGATAATGCAAAATGTGTCGAAAAATGCTCTAAAAAGCAACGTGAAGTTCTAACCGCATTGGGTGATGCACAGAATAGGTACTTGCAGCCAAGAACCCCAATGCTCAGTGGTCATAAATTTACTATGGCACCGCCTAAGGTGGAACCACATGTCGACGTTTACATCGAAGAAGCTTGTCGTATTCGAGAGGAATGTAAAGCAATGAGAGAAGGTGGTGGGAAAAAGAAAAAATAAATACCTACAATAAAAAAATAAATAAATACATTGGTTACTTTTTAACGACACCATTATCAATTATTTTACTTTTTTAACAACATAAATATGTCTAAAGTTTAAACCCATAGTCATGCTGTTGTGTTGTACAAGTGTATTTATATTTAGATACGAGAGATCGAGTGACAGAACTTATTTTGAAAAATAGAGAAGGAAAAACTTTAATATCAGATAAAATTAAAAAATGATATTCCTAATTATTAATAATAGTTACTTTTAATTTTCGATATAATTTTAACCTAAAAAGTAGTATGGACAAAGCCAAACACGCCTTGTGAATTTCACCAGTATGCTACTCCACTAGCGGATCCAGGATTAGAGCGAAGAGGAGAGCTCGCAAAATATGGCAGACTGACAGACTCCCATCAGATAAACGAACTTACAACAGACTTAATAATGAACTCAAGCGACAGATTGGAAAATTCAAACGAACAATCTATGACAACTACATCAGAAATCTCTCAACCGACGATGGAAGCTTGTGGAGACATACCAAAAACCTTATTAAGCATCGTGAAGTGTCAGCACCCCTTCGAAGAGAAGATGATTCCTGGGCCGTGACGGACGGAGAAAAATCAGAACTCTTTGCCGAATATCTTTCTTCTGTTTTTGTACCACACACAGACTTCACTAACACTGTGCACGATAACAATGTAACTAAACACTTTAGACGTGTCCTTACAACTAACTTCACCTCCTATTTCATTTACACCTTCCCAGATTGCTGAACAAATCAAAAAGTTGCCTAAAAGAAAAGCTCCTGGACATGACTTGATTAACGCTGAAGTGCTCCAACAAATGCCTAGAAAAGCTCTAGTGCTTTTGACAACTATTTATAATGCAATACTGAGGACAACTAAATTTCCACTACAGTGGAAATACTCACATATAATAATGATTCACAAGCCTAACAAGGACAAAAACTCACCTTCCTCATACCGACCAATCAGCTTACTGCCTATCTGTTCCAAAATTTTTGAAAGCTTACTGAACAAAAGACTTGTTGATATACTAACTAACACCCAAATAATACCTGACCATCAATTTGGATTTAGGGCACATCACTCAACTGTACACCAACTACATAGAGTAACGGGCTACATATCTACAGCACTAGAGCAGAAAGTATATGCAATTGGCGTATTTCTGGATGTTGCTCAAGCGTTTGACAGAGTTGGGCACCAGGGTCTTCTCTTTAAACTCAAGACAATACTCCCACCTACATATTATCTAATTTTACAATCCTTCCTTTCCGATAGATCTTTCTCGGCCCGACACGAGTCAGAGTTATCTTCCATCAGGTCTATCTCAGCAGGAGTACCTCAAGGTTCAGTTCTCGCTCCACTACTCTTATATCACATACACCCATGACATACCCTGCAGTCCCAACATTTTAACAGCGACATATGCAGACGACACAGCAATTTTAGCAAGACACAAAAATCCAATATACGCCTCACATCCCCAACAACAGTATTTAACAAGATTACATGACTGGTTCAAAATTTGGAAAATCCGACCAAATCAAGACAAATCACAGCACATGACATTTACGCTTCGACGTGAAACATGCCCTCCAGTTTTCCTTGCCAACACACAGATTCCACAGACAGACACCGTTCACTACCTTGGTCTGACATTTGACGGAAAAATGACGTGTGGCCCACATATAATAAAGAAACGAAAAACGCTAAATCAAAGGTTAAGAATTCTGAGTTCACTTCTTTCGAAAAATTCAAAACTAAAACTTAGACAGAAATTGAACACGTACAATTACTTACAAAAACCTATTTGGACTTACGCATCACAGATATTTGGAACTGCTAAAAAGATTCACTTTACCAAACTTCAAATCTTTCAAGCAAAAACATTCAGAACAATTACAAAAGCACCTTGGTACGTTAGCAACATAACTTTACATACTGACCTCCATATGCCGACTGCTAACGAACACATACGCACTCATTTCAAACGATTCCATGACAACTTACAAGGACATCCTAATACACTTATAAATGACATGGCCACTACGTATATGCCAGGTAACGTCTGTAGGAGACTGAAGAGGAGCTGGATGAGGGACCTCCTCGCCTAATGTAGATATCACGCCGAGTGAGGTGCCGCTGGGCACTGATCCTATCCTGGGTCTTTCATGACATTATATTCTGCAATCGACCTCACATTTACTGGTTGTCATTACCATTATGACAGGTATGAAGAATAAAATTAAAGCTAAAAAAAAAAGGATTTAATTTTGGGGGGCTTCAGCCCAAAAGTTTTTTTTTTTCATAAAAATGACGATATTCACTTTGGAAAAAGAGAAAGAAACTAGCTATCTATATGAAATGGTGTTTAAGCGATTCCGTAAGTCCTTTTAAATGACACGAACAATAATACTTTAGGGAATAATTTTTTTATATTTTTTCCATAAAACGTGGTTATATTTTACCATTTTGGGGAGCTTCAGCCCTTAAAGCTCCTCCCCCCACCCTCCCCCTCCCCCGTAGATCCGCCCGTGTGCTACTCCATACAGATTCATACATACAGGCGGATTTAAAAGTCAAAATGCAAATCTAATATGTATCCGCCTGCTAAATCTATAAAATATATTTCCAAAGAAGACGGCGAGGTCTTTCCATAATTATGTATTTTAATCCGCTTGAAGAAATTAGAAAAAGCAATTGAATCCTTTATAACGGTAACGTGAATTAAAAATTAAAAATATTAATTTGAAATATGTTCCCAACTGAAATAGTATAGAATGATTTATAGTTGTAAATGTATTAACAAAACAGCGTATTAAAAGGGCAAAAAAACCTTTCTTCTCTCTTTCAAAAACATTGAAAGGCCGAAAAATTTCAAATAAAGACTGTAAAATGCTATGATAAAGTCAGTTTTGCGACCTGAACACTAACCAGCACTCTTGAAGGTATTAAAATTTTAAATATAAAAATCCTCTGCACTATAACCGGATCGATGTGCAATCAGAGTACTTACCTATGAAGGAGAAATAACAATAAAGAAATGCTTACAGAAACTAGTTAATCAATATCTCATGATATGAAGGCAAAGAGGTTAAGATGGGCGGGGCATTTATCTCAGAGCAATCCATTAGGAAGAATCTGCACAACAATGAATATCTCAATAGCTGGCAAGAGACCATGTAGAACACTAGCGGATCCAGGATTTAATTTTGGGGGGGGGGGGCTTGAGACCGAAACCTTTTTTTTAAATAAAAATAACGATAATTACTTTGGAAAAACAGAAAGAAACTAACTACCTATATGAAATGGTGTTTAAGTTATTCCTTAAGTACTATTAAATGTAATTACACCAACAATAATACTTTAAGAGGTATTTTTAAAATTTTTTTCCCATAAAACATGGTTATATTTTTACATTTCTTCATGGGGGGGGGGGCTTCAGCCCGAAAGCCTCCCCCTCCCCGTAGGTCAGCCCGTGATGTAGAAGAGCACCTGTAGATAGATCGAATCAACAATAATGCAATAGATCCGCATGCAAAAAACTGGTAAGAGGTAAAACAATATTGGCAGGGATGAAGAATGCTGGTGATGGCAACAAAAGATCTGCAGGATCTGTAATACAAAAAGGAAAAGGAAATTCTGTTTTTAATTCCCACTCTGCATATTTAATTTTTTAGATTGTATTAGTTCTCAGACCTATAAATTTATAAGATCCTGAAAAATTTTGTTCTCTTTCAGGATTTTAATAATATTTGTACAGGGTTATGTAAAGCTTCTATTAATTACTCACTTATTTTAGTTTTATGAACTTTTTATATAATTTCAAAAAAAATAATTATATACTATATTTTTTTTGCCTTTGCTTGAGAAGGTTGCTGCCCCAAATCAGAAAGATTTATTGAAGATAATCAATCTTAAAATATAGGTTGACAAAGGTAAATAATAATAAGGCACCAGGACTCGATTCTTTGCCTTATGAAGTCTTTAAAATTTAGTTAATTTATTCAATTATGCTATGGCCTTATGAATTCTAAAAATTAAGTTAATTACTTATTGTTATCTCGTCACAACTACGCATTACCGGGTCTGGGCCTTCCCCAACAACCTCCGCTAATTGCTATGGTTCCGTGCAGCCGCCATCCAGCTGCGCACTTGGATGTTCCAAGCGTCAGCTGTAACTTCCTCTACCCATCTATGGTTCGGTCTTCCTCGTCTTCTTGTCATTCATGCGTGTCTCATACCCCGTCCACCTGAACGACATTTGAGTAAACCATAAACCTCTTTTGTGCGTCTCCTCCAAGTTCCATCCATCAACATCTATATTCTCCAAATATCCTTCCAAGGATTTATTTTTTGGCGGGAGAGAATGTCTACTTCCAACCGAGATTTTGTCTTGGCTACTCCACCACCACATTTTCAGCTTGTTCAGCATTGTTAAACTGACTTTAGTAAAGGAACATTTTACCGTATATGCATATTGAAATCACTATATTTCAAGTTGGCTAATTTCGGACTGTCTCAAATTTGCTTGAAGTTAAAAAACGTTTAAACGTCTTAAAAAGTTTATATTCAAAGTCTAAAGCGACAGTATATAATAAATAAGCATTTGCAAACTTTTGAAACCATTACTATCTGCGCTTTTCCTAAACAATTTACACGAAAATGTGGATAAAATATTAGAAATCACAGATGTGAATATTATTGTTTATTGTAGGCTTACGACGTAGTATTGCTTGTCCACTCCCCTGTTAAATTGTAACAAATGTAATGTAAATAAATTGTAAACAACCTGAAGAGAGATAGATATATAGATTCGTCATTCAGGTACGAAGAATGGTTGACCAGAAAGTGATGACATACAATTTTTAGTTCTGACACTGTTATTAGTAGTGATCACAGTGATCGCCGTACCCCATCCCCAATAAAAATAGAGAGGAAGCGAGAGTATCGTGTTAATCCCCCAATATTTCAAGGATCATTTCTTCCCTCTCCCTAGGGTACTAATACAAGGAGAAGTATCTGAAGCCTTTGAAGTTCGAACGGGTTTGAGGCAGAGAGATGGACTCTCGCCGATGCTGTTCAACTTAGCACTAGAGAAAGTAATAAGAACATCACGCGAAGATGGAGGCGGGCACATTGGAATGAAACACAAAATCCTAGCATATGCGGATGATGTAGCTGTCCTCGGAAGTAATCAAGAGGATATTGAGAGACTCGCTCGGACTCTGTTAAAAGAAGCAGAGCAAATCGGACTACAGGTCAATGTAGATAAAACAAAATACATGATAGTTAGCCGAAACATCCACCCTAACAACATGATCTGCGTGGACTCTAAGTCATTCCCGAAAGTAGACAGATTCAAATACCTAGGCTCCATAATAACCTCAATAAATGATCAACTAACAGAGATAGACCAGCGAATAACAAGTGCCAAAAAGTGCCTTTTTTCTCTCTTTCAAAGGCACTGAAATCCAGAAAAATCTTCAGAAATCTAAAAATAAGGGTGTAAACCGCCGTGATTAAGCCAGTTCTGCTGTACGGTTGTGAAACCTAGGCTCTAACCGGCACATTAGAAATCAGAATTGAGAGGTTCGAAAGAAAAGTTCTACGTAGGATAACAGGACCTATATGGGACCAGAACCTTGACACATGGGGAAGAAGGAACAATAAAGAACTGCGTCAGTCAATATCTCATGACATGAAGGCAAGGAGGTTAAGATGGGCGGGGCATGTATCTCGTAGCAATCCATCAGGACGCCTTTACACAACAATGAATGCCAGAGTAGTAGGCAAGAGACCACGTGGGAGGCCAAAAACCAGATGGATAGATAGGATAAACAAAGATACGGCTGAGCTTCATGCCGCAAACTGGAAAGCAGTAGCCCAAGATAGGCAGATGTGGAGAAGGCTGGTTAAGGCGGCCAAAGATCTACAAGGTCTGTAGAGCCAACCGGAAAAAAAAACTATATATATATATATGTATATATATACACACACACACACACACAAATAGTATTATATTGTTCGTTTTATAATTATTATCTTAATTATGTTTGTATCTCTGGTATTGTAGTCTGTACGTATGGCAGTGATTAATGAACTCTTCAATGACTAACCTTCATTTATTAAAATAAATGTTACAATACATATGAGTAAACTTGATAAGCTATCTATTAAATAATATTTAATTAAATAGATTGCTACACCATGAATATCAAAATTTGTATATACATGAACCATAGAACATGGAAGAATGTACATTTATTATTTACTGGATTTGTTTTCGGAAATGCTTCGTATTTACCCCAAGAACAATGGTTCAAGAACCTACCCCCTTTCCCCATCCTCCCAAGATATTTTATTAGTCACCTTATCAAGCTAAGATAGAGTTAGAAAATCGTAGATCATATACAGTCACAGTTGCTGCGGTGTGTTCCATATTACGTTTGTCCCTTTGTCCGAAAATTTATAAACCCGTCGAAATTTGCCCCTCTCAAAAATTCAAAAACCTTTCAAAATATGCCCCCCTCAAAAATTTTGATGGCCCAACTTGCGCCATGAAACCTCCTTCTTGACACCCTTGCATGTACCTTAATAACGTATATTGCGTATATATTGCTCTTCAACTGAACATTGAAAACTATAGACATGATTATAGAAATCGATAAACACGAAAAAATAATGTTTTTTTGAATTCTAACTCTTTTGGATTTATTTGTTGTTGTTTTTTGGATTTTTTTTTTTTTGTATTTATTTGTTCTTAGGGGGGCTTACACAAATAAAAATATCCCACGGTAGAATAGAAATAAATTTATTATCACTGCTAGCCTAAATCGGGCTTCCTTTATCTCTGCCAAAGCTGAATGTGGGCTCAAATAAGAAAAAGGTTTCCCGCCTATATTCTATTGTAACAAGAAATATTTACATTTCTATAGTAACGGTCTATAAACTTCAGCTGGCATTCGTTAAACATGTTGGACTAAATGATTGGTTCGTTAGCAAAATTTTTAGGTTATAACACAAACAGAAAAATAAGGAACAACAATGAAAAATTACTTAAAGCACAATTTACGAAGACACTATCCGTCTGGAAGACCAAGAGTAAGCGAGTTTTATGGCTTTCCTAGATGGTGGTATTTTAGTATATCTTTTCCTTTCCAGTTGCCTTGGTTTTATCTACATAGATTTTATCAATTTCGTTTACATTTTCATCAATGAAGTTTGAATGCATCAATGTAATATTTCATAATGAAAAATTAAGTGAGTGGTTAGTCGCGCATCACATCACTATTGTTGGCAAGTATTGCTTTAAATAAAGTATTAATATTATCAATTTTTTGCATATACAAAATACTAAGACTTGATAATCTATAATAAACTACTATATTCTGAGTTAATTTTACTATTTTGAATCTAAATCAGATATTTTTTCAAAGGATGACTTAGGAAAACAGTAAATAATTGATTGGTAATTATTGATAGGAGGGTCATCCTCGCGTGACCTCTGACTTTAAATCTAACTTTGAAAAAAAATCGGCCCAGTAGTTTCGGAGGAAATGCGCGAACGGCAGACGGGGTTGTAGGCGTGCGCCGTACGGCGGACAGGCAAAAACATTTTATTCGTTATTCGCATTTTACGTATCCTGAAACGTAAAACCTCAAATTTAGAAGTGGGATAAAGTTTTTGAATTTTCCAGTCGGTTACAATGGTTCATTATTGTAAATAACAAACCAAAATAAAGATGAAACATGTTGAGATTCATCTCTAATTGAGGTTAAATGTTATTAGTACGGTAAAATTATATTTACTTTGTACATGTGAATTCAACTTATTCTGTAACAAACTTCAACTAAATAATATAGACTTAAAGCTCGAATTTTTTTATTAATGACTTTATAGAATCATTGAAACAAAAAAATGATAATTATAACAATCAAAAATGTAGAAAAAAAAAATTAAACTTAAAAATGGTATCATCCACTAAGAATAACACCTATTTCATTCATGTTAGATGTTGGTTTTTCTTTTTCTTTTTTTTATTCCAATACCCGGGGGAAGGGGAAGGAGAGGCCCACCAATCAAAATCGAAAGCCAGCGCCTATGAGCCAATCTCTATCGTAAATTGGTGGAGTTGTCTTGAAGTGGTGATAATTTTTGTAGTTTCCGATTTAGTCAAAAATTATTTGTAAAATGTTTTTATCGTATAAAAAAAATCACTGTTCCTCTAAAGTTTCAAACATCAAATATACTCTGCTCTTCCTATTTCCTAATCCAGAGCAAATATGTAAACATACCGACACTTATTTATCTATAATTTTACTATTTTCATTTATTTACTTATATTATTTATGTTACTTTTTTTTTCATTTCATACTATTCAATTTATACCAGGCAAATGTAACTGGAACTCATACTTCATGTTATTCTTTGGTGGCATAGGACACCAGAATGAATTTTTTATCTTCTTCCTAATATTATATATAAATATAAAATGGTTATGTCAGTATAATAAATAAAAATGTGTATGTACTACGAATTAAACACAGTAAATTTTATAACAATATATAGCGTGCCTGAAATTGGCATAAATGTACAATTTAAAAAAAAAATAAAATTAACGATTGATTTGATATGGAATGGCAATTTTTTTCAACAAGTTTTAGATTTTATTTGTTTGTAACATCATCGTACATTATATTTCTCAATTATTAAACAAAATTTTTCAAATAATTTTTTTAATTTTAGATTTCTGTAATGAAAGATCAAATACAAGCTCTAAAATCACCATTAAAAAATATTGCATCGTGTTACCCTCCCGGCAGGTATCAAATGTGTAGTGCTGCCGAAGAAGAACCAAACGAAAAAGAAATGAAAAAATGTGGTTGGTTGGATAATTTTTTTTGGAATCATAGTCCTGTGAGCATACTAAAAGGAGATATATTAGAAAGGGATTACTCGCCCTTCAAAGATAGCGGCCGTGCTTTTAAATTTGGCAACAATCTAAAAAAATACTTTTCAGCTTGCAATCTGTTCGAGAAAAGTTACCTCAATTTCATGAAAGAAAATTATAAATCAGCCGAAAATATTAATCCTTGTAACTCCATTAAGTGCCAAGATACCGTAAAGCAAGTTAAGTTTACAACAAATGTTAATACTTTAGTACCCAAAGTGAAGAAATGTTCCAATCATGGACCTTATTTGGACAGCAAAAGAACAAGAAGCCAAAGTAATTCTTATTTACGAAACAATTTCTTAAGGCCGTCAAGTGAAATTTCGGATAATGGCAGCAGGAGTTTCACCACGTTAGGTACGAAATCAGAATCAACTAAGACTATTATTCCAAAACCATCGAAAATTTCTCGAAACATTCAAAGTTCGGTGGAAAACGCAAACCTCCTTGCTGACAGCGGGCACTTGGCGACCAAGGCTACTGAAAGAGCCTATGAAAGATTAAAGAAGAGAGATTTTGATTGGATGAACTCATTTTCCAGTGAGGCAGTGATTCTTCAACCCTCAAGAGGAGAATTCAGCATTAAAAAGCTCATCAATAAGACCACTTGTCAAGAAAGACTATGGGGATTACCGCCCAGACAATCTTATGCTAAAACTTTAGGTCCTGGAATGAATGATAATTTAGTTCAATACACGGCTTTGAAACATAAAATGCAATCAGACTACAAGAAACATAACTTCATTGGTGACCGTTTAGAAACAAATTTAAAAGTAAAAAAGTTAATAAAATCGGCTAAAGAAAAAAATAAGCTAGTTGAACTTAAAAAAAAGAAAAACGTTTCAAATAAATATTCTGCAAGAAACGTGCTAAAAACAATCAAAGATTCGATAAACCTCAAACCTATCGATATTTTGAAAAGAAAAGAAAAAACGGCAAAAGATAACGAAGTAAGACATCTTCAAAAAGCGAATAAGAAAAGGACCATTCTGAATTTCAGAATGCCCAATCTCAAAGTAATGGAAAAACAACAGAAACTGTTGCAGAAGGATAAACCATTAAATAAACCACCTATAACAGAATATCAATCATCTGCTTCATATAAACATGTTTTTCAAGAATTATTTAATCAATCTAATAAAACGAAGGTACAACCAAAATCATCCTTATCTTTTTTCAATCGGCAACAAGTTAGTAAAAATGTTTTCCGCCCAGCTAATAATTTGTCGGCTTACAATTTAGTACATAAGAAGAAGATACTGAAGAAAAGAGAACGTAGTACCCCAGTGCCAGAACGAAATCGTACCGTGAATCTAAAAAATCAAGCTAGAACACCTTTTCAAAAACCTTCTAATACCCAACTGACAAGTAAATCAAAAGCTAGTTTTTCAACCGTATCGAAAATACCAAAAATGACTAGACCAATTGGCATTAGGTATTCTACGTTTTTTAAAAATAATATAAACATAACACCTTTAACGAAAGAAAAAATGTCTGAACGTCCCCTCTGTACTAATGAACGGAAAGAAAAAGAAGGAAACAAACCCATAATTAAGAAAACTTTATATAGCACTCTAGGATACTATCCTGCGATCCCTAATAGGATCGTTATGAAACCTAAGAAGAAAACAAAAAGTAAGAAAAACAACACTGCACACCCGATTAAACCCGAAACTACGAAAGAAAATAGAAGTCATACTCAATCAGTTAACTCAAATAACGCTTATTTTAGTCAACGAAGATCCCTCAGCAGTATGGGGATACAAATTGGAAACATTATGGAAATGGACAAATCGATTAAAACTGTCACCGAACCTGTAAACGAAGAGGTTTTCAATGAAGTTATGAGTCTATGCAAAGAAGAACCGACAATGACGAAGGAAAAAACGGTACCGTGTTCAGAAAAAGAAAAATCGTTGAAAAGGTATGGTAGATGTTCTCTGCAAGAAAGAAAGAAGCCAGAAAGGAGAAGAGGATTTGTTTGCAGGATAGCCAGTATGCTTAAAATTGGCTGTGGTCGCAGAAGGCGACCCAACGAAGGATGCAGGGAGTGTGGAAAGAAAGCAGGCTAACTTGTAATTTGTCTTTGATCTGTATACATCAGTGTCTCCGTCAGTGTCTTTTATGGTTACAATATATTTTATTTTGAAATAATTGTTTTCATATATCACATGGTTATGTAAATCATTAGATTTGTATTTTTGTATATGTCTCAAACCAGGAAATTTCCTTTGCTAAGTAATCACATTTTTTATTTTTTATAATTTGTTTATTGAGAAATATTATATTCTGTTTCAATTAATGACATTTATAATAGAGATCACAGAGAACATTCACACCATATTTTCAGAAAACATAAATAAATTAATTAAGTTATAGCAATATAATGAATACAAATAAGAACAAAATCAAATATCAAAAAGAGAAAAAATAAATAAAATAGCAAAAATAAAATGTATCTACATAAAAAGTAAAATAAACATCTTAGACACTGGTATACTTTTCTGTATTATTTACAATTAGCAGGGGAACTAAGAACCAATCTTGTACTCCCTCTCTTGTGGAGGAAGAATCGAGATTCCATGAGATCCCGGAGGTTCTTTCTCAACCACTTCACCAATCACCAATATTACTAAGATTTTACAAATCAGTGTTGCTAAAACAGTACTACTTTTTATGAAAGTTGAGATGAATGAATGAAGAAACTGATTATGGACATGTTATTATTTATAATTGTGGGTTGATGATTGACTAATGAAGAGAAGGATGGTTGGGATGATCAGTCAGAAATAAAAAGGCAAAAATAAATAATAATATTTATTTTAACATTTGCCGATGTTTCGACCTGAAATCGAGGCCTTCATCAGGGCTGTTATAATAGATAGTTCGAATTGAGTGATTAAGTTATTAATTATAAGTAAGAATATTTGTTTCAGTGATTTATTCTTCTAATCATTCCACTCAATTACATCATTACATCATAACTAGTGTTGCCCAAATGCAAGACCGAGAAGAGTCTTGGTCTTGCAAACTCAGTCTTGGTCGTGGGCTTGGTCTTGCGCAAGAATCTCACAACAGTCTTGTAGTTGCTTATTAGCTTTTACTATAGATATGTTACTGTATTTTTTTAGATTAGAGAAACCTAACTAAGTCCGAATGAAAAATTAGAGGAGTTAAATGCAAAAGTATATTGGTTATAACAATTATTTACATATAGTAACTAAGATTGTCAAATATTAGCAACTATTTTGCCTTCATTTTTATTTTTTAAAAATGATTTTTTTTTACCTGTCCTGGTCTTGGTCTTGTAACAGTTAGGTGGCCTTTGTCTTGGTCTTGCAAAGTGCAAGACCGATTTTGGGCAACACTAATCATAACGTTTCGGGATTCACTTTTATATCCCATCTTCAGACAGTATCCCGTATCCTCATATTCTCCATAAGACTTGTCTTATTATATTATTTTTTTATTATTGTCCTATTCCTTGAAATTTTAGTCTCTTCTAGGGAGGAGCCTTGTCAGATACTGAAATCAAACATTGAGCAAGGGGTAAGAGCACGGGGGGGAGGGGGCTTTCGGGCTGAAGCCCTCCCCCCAAAATGGTAAAATATAGCCATGTTTTATCGAAAAAAATATTTAAAAAGTATCTCTTAAAGTATTATTGTTTGTGTAATTGCATTTAAAAGGGCTTTAGGAATCACTTAAACACCATTTCATACAGGTAGTTAGTTTCTTTCTTTTTTTCTAAAGTAATTATCGTTATTTTTATGAAAAAAACAGCTTTCGGGCTGAAGCCCCCCCCCCCAAAATGAAATCCTGGATCCGCTAGTGGGTAGGAGCAAGCAACTCTATCTATATTGTTTCACGGTATATTATACGTATCCTTTCTGACCAGTATTTCGGAAGATTCATTTTCGACCTGGATAAGAGTATTTTTATTTTTGTCTCCTTTATTTAATTACCAAAGTCTTCCAAAATTTATATTTAGCATTTTTTCATAACTCGTAACTATGATAAATGGTTATGTTTTATAATAAACCAAATTAAAGGTACTTTAGAGGAAGATATGGTAATGCTGGGATATCACAGGGAAAATTCATCAAACTATTCACTAATTTAATTTTCTAAAAAGTTACATGGCAATTTTTCGGAATAAACGTTTATACCTAATTATTTAAATATAATATCAGATCTATAATCACTAAACTACAGTAGATGTATTTAAGGTTATCAACATATGCTTTATACATCCATGAAATGATTTTATATTTTACTTCTTCTTTCACACAAGTAGAATTAAATAGTTTTTTTAACAATACTATTGCCTTGATTAGGTGGATTTAAATACTTTCTACAAACGTAAAAATATTTCTTAAAGTTTACATTTAGTTAATAAATTTCATTTCATTTCCTTGAAAACATGTGATTTACATTAAATATCAGTTTTCAAAAATTATTATTTATGGTTTTTTCACTACTCTCCGTTACCTTCTACAACTTTTTATATTAGATATTGTTGTTTCTAAAATTCTTCTCTTTCCAACGATACATTATAAGTATACCTTCTGAATTGTATTTCCGGAGATTTATTTCGACCCGTATAGGCATTTAAATTTTTTCTCCTTTATTCAATTATGAAATTCATTTAAAAGTTATATTTAGCATTTTTTCGTAACTTTTAGTAATGAGAGATAGTTGATTATTTAAAATAAACCATATTAAAGGTACTTAAGAGGTAGACGCATATGAACATTGGGCATTTAAATCTGTCAATGACATCAACGGGTCAATCAATCAATAAATAATTAATTTTAATGTATTATATATATAAATAAAATAAACCAGAAGTAAAAAATAGTTTTTAATTATTTTTATAGTTCATTTTAATGAAATCAAGGTTTCACATCAATCCAAGTAGGTGCAGAACTATTCCAATAGTAGATGAATTCATATGTGATATACGCCAGAATAAAAAAGAAAATATGGATGTTTCAGTAACTAAAACAAAAGAAAAATTAATATTTATAATGTTAGTTTTTACAAAATTATAAATATGAGGCGATTATAATTTTGTTTCAAATTTCACATTTACTAAGATCAAAATTCAACTGTCTTTCTTTTTTGCAGAAACCATTCATTAGAATAGGCTTCCCTATCGAAAGAAATTTAATATTGGTTGTTTTACAAGCAATTTACATATGTCAATGTAAAGTGCTCCTGCTTTACAACCGTTTTATTATAATGTATGTTTATTATTTTATAATAATAAGGTATTATAAACAAATCGGTATGGTATAAATAATAATAGTATTTACATTCGTTCACATGATCTAATCAGCATTTTTCTCTTATCTAAAAACACAATTAAATTAATAAATACTTTTTTTATTTTAAAAGTAAAATGTTTCTCTGTATAAATCGCATATAAGGCTCTATTACAAAACGGGGCACCTCATTTTTTTGGATTGAAATTTTTGGTATGAATGATTTGATAGGTTGTTGATAGAATCTATTGGATATTTGTTTCTTAGAAGAGTAATTTTTGTAGTAAAACCTCGTAAGTAGCAGATGGTTGAAGTTAAAACAATGCAACAAAAAACAATTTAAAATTGTGAAACAATTAATTTCTAAAATGGTCTACAACCACGGGCGTATCTACGGGGAGGGGGCTTTCGGGCTGAAGCCCCCCCAAAAATGGTAAAATATAACCACGTTTTACGGAAAAAAAAAATTAAAAAATACCTCTTAAAGTATTATTGTTGGTGTAATTACATTTAAAAGGACTTAAGGAATCACTTAAACACCATTTCATATAGGTAGTTAGTTTCTTTCTGTTTTTCCAAAGTAAATATCGTTATTTTTATGAAAAAAAAGCTTCCGGGCTGAAGCCCTCCCCCAAAAATTAAATCCTGGATCCGCTAGTGTCTACAAGTACAAAGTTATAAACTTCCATCTTTATTAAACAAATATTGGCTATTATAATTTAATGGTTAGTTTTAGGTTTCAGTTAATATTTATAAAATAAATAAATAATAACTGACCAATTAAAACTTAAATCATTTGTTTTTCTTTCCTATTTTTCAATCACTTTCATGTTGTCTTAAGTAAATTAATTTTAACAACATACTTTTTATATGAGTAAGTTCATGGATTCCATCAAATGATTGAACTTAGTATCGATTATAAGCTAAGTTTAGAAACGACTAGCCAGATTGTCGCGGAAAGTTAATACTCCAGTAAGATTAAAAACAGATGAAAAACGTTAATATAATGTTGATTGAAGTGTTGAATTTCAAAACAGAAATATATGGAGATAGAAAGTAAGCAGATATAATAAATAAGTACAGTAAATTGAGAAATGACAATACTAAGGTTTCATGAAAGGGATTTATCGACCACAAAAACTTACGAAAACAGTGAGTCATTGGTTAATAAAGGATCGATGAGTTTAGGAACTTGCCGAATGATCAGTAGGTGATATCTTTCATAGAGCATGTCAAATGTATTGTTAATAACGAAAATATCTAAAAAAAAATTTCAATTAATTAATATTTATGGGGTTTCGTTCTCTTACGTAGACCAACTTTGTGGGGAATGACCATCTTAATTAAATACAAAATAAAACATAAGCCCAAAATAAGAGGCACAGTGAAAAAATGTTTATTCATTAAACAAACTAATTTGATGTTTGCATATTAGTATAAACTTTTGCAAAGAAAAATAGAACCAATTTTCAATAATTTCCTATTAGTTATTTTCTAGAAGTTTATTTTAATAAAAACATTGTATACTTATTAACAAGGATGTATATAGTTAACCTGACCTATTGATATTTAATAAGCAGTTCCCATATGTGTAACAAGGATTATTCCAGTTACGAATGGATCTATTTGAAAGCAGGTGAAACTCATAATTATGTAGTTCCAAAATTAACTATATTCTCTTAAATGTGACATTAGACAATCATAACAGATGTTCTTTGTTATGAACCATTAAAAAAAAATGAGTTCGATATCCAGGCAAGTTCTGGTTTGATATAAACATGAAAAATAAAATGGCTACAAATTCTGAATTTCGAAATGTTTTATTTAATATCTTTCAGAAATGACATTCCCGTATTTTACGCCATGATCTGGTTTAAAAATGTGAAAGAAAAAA